CGGAGAGAGAAAGAGGGGCGATAGGGGAGGAGGAGAGAGGGATTGCATCGCAGCACACCCGTGCGTAAATGTGACCATCCTCGCCGTGGTCCCCTCCATCCCTCCGTCCTCTCCCCTCCAGCCTCCAACGGCTCCTCTCTGCTCCTCCTAGCTGGGATCACCTGTTCGGTGGTCGGTGGTCAGTTTTGGACCGTGGAGTCCCGGGTGTCTCGGCTCGGCGCCCTCCTCCAGGGGTTAGGAGGAGGAGCGCCGGGGACCTCGTCCAGGTTCCTGCCGGGCTTCGTGTCCACTGCCGGGGAGAGCCATGCCTCGGAGCGCCGGGAGAGACGCGGTTCGACCCGCTCTCGGATGCCGGTAATGCGGGGTCTTATCGCGCCCCAAAACACCTTCTTGGATACCATCGCCACTCGTTTCGATGGGACCCGTGAGTACAACACTTGTCTGCGAAGTGTTCATGATCTCTCAATTTTGTGATGCGCAATAGATGTTTAAATCAGTTTATTTTGTCAACACTGGGTCGTTCACTCATTCAGGTCCGTTTAGAACAACATTTAAACTCCGAAACACGGTCCTCTTCAAATGCCTGCGAGGTGCTTAATGAGGACTGAGGGCATGTGAAGAGACAAACAGGCCAAAATCGTATTGATTGTTGACCGATGAATGAATTGTGATGAATGAAAGCACTGGTCAATGTTTAACATATTAAGAATTCATGGAGTCCTACCTGAGCACCAAGTACAGAGAAACTGGTCAGTTACAGAGCTTGATTCAACGTTACATACTTTTTCAGTATTTTCACAAAAATGCAGACGTGTGGAGTCAACAAGTCCAAAGTGTTTTGCCTATTTGTAGTCAACAAACTGTCCAAAACCAGGCCACACTTTAACATTAAATACAAATGTGTATTATTGTTTAGCAAAAATGTAGGTATCAAATTTATTTTCCAATGCAAATGTGTTGTTTCCTTACTGTATCTATGGTGACAATAAATTCAGCAGTAATCTACTGATTCCCTTATTCTACTGATAATTATTGCAATGAGTCAGTGTATTAATTACCATTCAAAAGTCACTGATTTGAAGCTTGCAAAAATCTTAAAGGTTGCAGGTTCAACAAGTTACTTTGCTCTGCTAGAACAAAAAGTGTGCTGCTGTTTCCCTGTTAACACCCCATCTCTCTCCCTTTCTGTGCAATGTGCACAGTTTGCACCTTGATTTGCCGAGTTGTACTGTGATTAGACACAGGAAACCACACAATATGAGCACAAAACGTGGTAATGAAGGCCCTGAATTTAGATCAAGTGATAAAGCCACTATAAGGCTCTTACATCATGTCTTGTGATAGTGTGGTTACAACAACAACATGGACCTATTCATAAAGAAAAGGTGATACATGACCTTCAAAAAGCTCTGTCATTCAGCTTTTACAGCTACACAGGTCTCAGAAATGGATGAACTGAGTCAGACACAGCAGGCGTTGCCCAACCTGTAAGTATTTTTCACCTGTTTTCACACAGGATTCATTGTAGAACCCTGCACATCAGTCTGGGTATTAGAAGCCATAGAGAAATCACTGTCAGCCACTATGCAACTGCTGTTATTATAGTTTAGCAGTGTTACATAAGAGGGTGCAAACTAACAGGCAGCAACAGAATGTGTGGCTGAAGTACTATATAAGGAATCGGGGTGGCATCTATCTGCTTTCTGAAACAGTAAATACAGGAGATGACTTTCATTTGTATACACTGCAGTGGCATTTCTTCTGCAGATCGTTATATCCCACTATACAGGTCCATTAGACGGAGGACGCTATTTTGGTTGAGCAGAGATTTTACCCACTTCATTATGACTTGAGCAGCTATCCACCTGCTCCTCCGGCTACACAGTGAAGTTCAAGAGTTCTTTTAAGTGTCGCTTTCATTAATCCCAGTTCTACATCCTGAGTGGTTTGATAGCGTGAAAGAATGTCTTTTGAGGCCAAATGAAAACCTGTTTTCATGACATCCACAACCTTCTTTTCTGCCTCCTCCATTCGCTTCACTGAATACAGACGTTGCAGTCCTTTTACCCGTCTGCTGATTCAGGAGTTCCCCGGGCAGACCAAGCCCAGGTGGCCTCTTCTTTCAGCTTCAGTGAATTATCACCGAACACAACAGGAACTGATGCTCCTCCAGTTACATCTCAGAGCAGCCACCTCAGCAGCAGAGGCTTTAAACCTGACCCGGAGATAAAGATTTTCAGACATTAGTGAGTGGTGCTCAGCTGGGAGTTCCCTTTCCCCCCTCACCATGTTTACCAAGTCCACCTAAGTGGGTTCTGCTCCTTTTTTACTTGAATATGTATATGGTGAGTATATATAATATAATCTGAACCAACTACAGTGAATAAATGCAGCTTTTTCTGGGTCCAAAACATGAATAATGACATCTGGTGAGGAGCTGTTCCTCACACCTGGACAACCACCCGTGAGACACTGAACTCTGGAATGATGCTCATGTTGAGCTACTTATTTGTGATTAGACTCTTGTTCCTTGTCTTGTCTGCAGGGTGCTGCCAAGAGAGTGGTGAGAGGTAGAAAACCAATCTAAAACACACCTAGAAAAATGACAAGGAAAGATTAGCGATGCCATATTAAATCATTACACTAATGTGTTAAAGCAGTACTAGGAAAACAGTGCAGGTGAAACATCTAGGTGAAACCTTTATGAGCGCCAAACACTTTGCTGCTTTTATCTCTCATTCCCTAAATTTGTTGACAGAATATAGGGCATGTCCTTTGTGACTGATAGTGATTTCTGAAGTACTAAAAACCAGCTGAGCAGAACAGTATTTTCAGGTCAGAGGCTGGGATCTTCCATCTTGTTCATACAACATTAATGCAGCACGAGAACGGGAATTTCTCCAGAGAATTTCTCTATTTTTTTTTTTTTTTTTACTAAAACCTGGTTTGTGTCTTCATTCAGGGCTGGGTTACTGAAGGTCGGCACCAGAGGAAATTAGATTTCCTTAGAAGGGTCCTGACAGTTACAGACTTCTTTGTTAAATGTTTTTATTTTTCAGTCACTGAAGAAAAGGTGTAGAACAGCTGCAATTAGTGCTGGCAGGTCTTTAAAAGGCTATAAAAGAAATTCTGCAGTTATTTCCATACAGTTTTGACATGAGCATAATGGTGCTGAGAAGAAATTCACAAATAATTGATCAATTTTTCACTTTAATCTCCCATTGTGTCTGATTCAGTGACAGCTGTACCAAAAAGTTTGTCAGTACATTGAGCTTTACAGCTGCAGAACAGTAGAAACTCTTTTTATTTGTATTTTAGTATGTGAATAACTGCAATATTCATTTTATAAAGTGTTCTAGATATTGTTAATGTAATGTTACTGTAATCTGACAAATCTGTCTTCCAACCCCCAGAGGAACTTTTTCATATGCGGTTTTTGTTGCCTCCATTTTGCATGTATCAGTTCTGGCCCAGTTTAGGGTATGAATCTAAGCCAATACTATAAAAAATGCTCAACCAAGCATGTGACATATGTGTGTGTGTTTGTCTTGCACTGTGGAGAATGCATTGTGGTGGGCTGTTGCTGTCATTATTAGTGACAAGGTTTACTGGGGTTCCCTGAGCCGCTCAGGGGCTGAAAAAACGGTTCAGCTCACATCTTTTTACACCTAGATTGTAGCATGGATGTGACAGGCCTAGTGTCTGGAGAATGTGCAGAAAATGAATGCAACATGGGGAGATAGGATCAAAGTAGAAGGAATATGATGTAAAGTAGCACAGGAGGTTTTTCTCTGTAATCATGTCTTTGGGGGAAACCGCTCACCTAAGTATGGGGCTGACCATTCTGCTATATATGTACAGTGAACACTGTAACCTTAGTGTAGTACAAGACAGCATCCAGGTGTCATAAAACTATACATACAGTGATAATTTAGACAGTAGGGTGCTTCAAGAAGAAGATGCCTGACCTGCAAAGCCCCGATCCTCAGCCACATCCAATACAATCATGTGGCTGGGGCTTTGCAGGTCAGGTTACACTGTTCATGGTTCAATGGGAGCAAACCCCTGCAACCAGGCCCCAAAAATTTGTGGAGAAATTTCACAGAAGAGTGGAGCAGCACATGAATGCCCATGGTGTTAAAATCATATCTTCAGCAATCACATATGAGTGACCATGCTGGCTCTCTGATAGCTCCAGTTTAAGCTTCTATTTTAGTCTCACATTAATGCACTGCCCATGCCTTTATGCAAATCTGACTCACTACTCTGAAATATTAGTATATTTTTCCTTTCTGCCAATTCATTATTTCAAAATTACAAGCCCATTTTCTCTGGAAGAAGTGATTCATCAAATCCTATTATATTCAGTCACACTGTTCAACCTCGCCAGCTGCATCATCCTTAAGATTAAAACTGTGGACAGCCTTCCACCCGCGTCGGCTCACACAGCTGCTTCAGTGATCAGATGCTACATTCATTTAACACACCTGGTGAAGCTGACAGCAAGAAGCTGACATCGCTGCTGTTGTCACTACTCATCCAGCTGGCTTTATATGAGAAACACGGCCACCCACAACAGTTGTGGTGTCTCAAGTGGTCCCACAGTGGTGTGCTGGAAATTTGGATGAGAAGTTACGCAGCAGAAAACAACTGCTGAAAACATATTCTGACATTGTGGCCATATAGGAACCTGTTTTTATGGGTGTCATTAGCTACAAGCAAACTACAGATTCTACTGAATCCCTCTGCAGTGACAGTGCCATTTGGAGTCCATATGACCTCAGTCAGGAACATAAACTGTCCCTGAAACATGATGGATAAAGCAGTGAAAATACTTTTTGAATGCAATTTACTTATCTTATTTTTGTTTGTGGTAATTTGAAGCCAATCTTATTATCTAACACTGAAAATGAATGAACCTATTTTCCAACACTGCAACATGCAACGCATATATTGATCTTTGCTGCTGCTGATTAACAAGCATGTCTGCTAAGCTCCGCCCACTGAGGTTTTCCTGGACCAATGAGATTATCTTCGCCTCAGAGAAATATTATCAGATGTATAAATGTAATAGGTTTGTGTTAATGTGTATTCATAATGACCAGTATATCACTTTAAACACACCATCTGTTGCAGGGCTTTGTGAACTTTATTGTCATGATTCATAACTGCTTCAGAGGAAACTTCCCATGAGCCTCCTGCACTCAAAGTGTCTGAGTGGGACTTTGATGGGGTTTTGCAAGAACATTTACACTGGACGTGCTTTATTAATGCATGAATTATTAAATTTCAGTGTCGAGAGTTCATCTTTATGCAGTCTCACTTTCCCTATCGCTCTCTCCTATTCTATCATTCTCATTCAATCAATGCTCGCCGGCTCTCGCGTCCTGTATTGTTCACATTTGTCAAAGTGAGTGCTCGGGTCTTCCAGATTCATTTATGTATGGACTTTAATGATGTCAGTGGAATGAATGTCAGGGTCTGTTCTTTCTAACTCAGTTTCATAATGAATTATTCAAGATTGTCCTCATAACTCAGGCTGTCAAACCTTTTGTCCGAGCTGCTGTTTATATCATAGTTTGGCAATGTGCTTACATATACTCAGAGAAAGGTTATATAAACACTCCTGTTTCCACTCTGCTAACATGATAGCTTACTGTTTTTTGGTGATGTGTGTTGAATTGGAAACATTTTGTACTTTGTTTCAGCCTAAAAATCTAAACACAGTGGCTGAAAGAGCAAATCAAATTCTATACATGCTAGCTTTAAATCTGATTAAGAAGATGCAGCAATGTTCTACTCTGAGGAGCCTACAGCTATAACACAATGACAAATAACATAAGCATGTATGACTGGATAAACATTACTATGATAAGAAATATCCCAGATCCCCACATCAACATATAATATGTGTGTTTATTTGTTTCTATTCTCAAAAAAAATATCTTATGGTTAATGTTATCTTTTGCTTGAGGCAGGAACATGAACAGATTGCTTTCATAATCTAAAACTGGGATGTCTGAGTGAAGTCAGATTTATTTATATAACCCAATTCTATACAATGTCTGACAGAAAAGCTGCTGCTGATGAAAATATAGTAGAAGGCATAAAGGTATGGAGAGGAGGGGAAGGCATGGGGCTTGAACAAAGAAAAAGCAAGATTATTATTTGAAGAGAACAATAGCGAGACACAGGGAAAAAGAGAAGATGTGGAGTTCACTGAAAAGCGGCCAGGGTGTTAAACTCTCCCTGAGGAGAGCTCTTCACAGTGAGCAGAATTAGCCTTTGAGACTGCAGAAGCGAACACTGTGCATAAAATTTTAATTATGTTTTCTTTGAATTAGCATGAACTTGTAGGTGATGGCCCTGTGGTTGAGTAAAGCATGTAGCATGAATGTGTAACAGAACTGGTTGCAGCCTATAAAGGCACAGGTCACGATATGTTGCTTTGTCTTTATCACGAATAAGTATTTTGTTAGTGTTTAACATCTACACCTCCCCGGAATAGAGTGAGTCTCTGTATAAGTCATATGGCAGGTGTCGTTGTGACATGTTAGCACAATAAAGTCTGTTGTCAAAAATGTAGAACTTGAAATTTTTGGACAGGGTGGCCAGGCTGGGGCACAGACCCACAGAGGGGTGGCACATTTGAAATGCATGTTAAAAGTAAATTAACCCCCTAATCCTATGAAAAAATTAACATACATTATTAAAAATCAAATAGTGTATTTTTTGCTCCTTATTTATTCCTGGCTGGGGACAAAATTGCAAAATTGTTCCCCCAACTGAGGCGAATCATGCCAAAAACTCTAAGACACAACCAGAGAACTGAATACAAATATCGTGCTGCATGCATGATAAAAAAAATAGTTTGACCAATATTAATTATAAAGCACCAGTAAAATGTTACTTGTATTTAAGGCAACAATTTGTCACTGTTTTTCATTCATTAATGCTGACAAGCATCACTGGCAGGGGCGGCACCAGGGGTGGCCAATCAGATACTTGGGGTGGACGGTGCCACCGCCGCCATCTTCTTGGCTCCGCCTATGGTCAGAACAAGAGCATTTAGTTTCATTGGCAGAGACGGGATGCTATAAAAATGCTTAGTTTGCATCTGTATTAAAAAGAGTATCATTTATTAGTGCATCTTAATGTCTTTTCAGGAGAATGTTATAATTCCAAATAGTAAAGTCGTACTAGTAGATCTATATGCCATTGGTATTATCCGACACGAACGCACTTACTCCTTTGCACAACTGTATTCGGGATATTGCCCCAAATTTTTTGCACTTAAATGAGAATAAGACTGAATATTTTTTTATTAGCCTTGATCCAGCCGCAGTGCTATCCAGTTTAGGTGCCTCTGCCCCCTCACTTACAGACATGGTGAGAAATCTTGGAGTAATATTTGACAATGACTTTACTTTCGATAACCAGATTAGGGCCGTGGTCAAGACCAGTTTTTTACACCTCCGACTTTTAACGAAGGTGAAGCCCTTCTTGTCATGTGGAGACTTAGAAAAAGCAGTCCACACTTTTATTACTTCACGTTTGGACTATTGCAATGCCCTTTATGTTGGTGTGTCCCAAGCTGTGCTGCGTAAACTTCAGCTGGTACAAAACATGGCTGCTCGGTTGTTGTCGAACACTCCCAGGTATGCCCACATTACTCCAGTTCTTTTTTTCACTACAGTGGTTGCCAGTAAAATGGAGAGTTGATTTTAAGATGTTGTTATTTGTCTTTAAGGCCATATATGGCCTCGCCCCACCATACCTATCGGAGCTGTTATCAATATACACCCCGCGCCGAACCCTGCGCGCCGCTGAGCAGTTGTCCTTGGTTGTTCCACGGGCCTGATCTAAAAAATGGGGCGACCGCTCGTTTGCTGTCTACAGTTCTAGACTCTGGAAATCATTACCGGCTGAGATCCGGTCTATAACTGAGCTAGCGGTTTTTAAGTCTACTTTAAAAACTCACCTTTTTAAACAGGCTTTTGGTGTTTAATCTGTTTTATCTGCCCTAAAAGGACATGGTTAATTTGTGTTTCTATATTATTTTATTGTGATGAAACTTTTATTGCTATGATTTTCTAACCTGTATTTGGTATTGATTGTTTTTGTATTTGTTAGTTGATATATATGTTTCACTGTGCAGCACTTTGTGCTCTTCGGAGTTGTAAAGTGCTTTATAAATAAAGTTTATTATTATTATTATTATTATTATTACTAGTAGCTGTAGTAGCATTCAAAACAGATGTTCATGTTTCCTCTGAGACACCAACAAGCATCTTTTGAGCTCCCACTTTGATACATGTGATGGATACTTGTGCTCACCATCTGTCTGACCCACGCCTAATCCATGTGTTTTCCTTTCCTGCGTCTTGGCCCATCTTTCCTCCCCCAGACAGTAACTTTGTCCTGGGGAATGCACAGGTCCAGTCCCTCTACCCCATAGTCTACAGCTCTGATGGTTTCTGTGAACTGACCGGCTTTGCCCGCGGTGAGCTGATGCAGAAGAGCTGCATGTGTCACTTCCTGTATGGCAGCGAGACCAGCGATCGTCTCACCTCGCAGATGCAGAAAGCGCTGGATGAACGTGAAGAGTTTAAGACTGAGATCATTCTGTATAAGAAGAGTGGTAAGAGTGGTCAGAAATCCTGTATCATAATCGTTTAGGGAAGCCTGAAATGTTTGTGGATTTCAGGCTAATTCCTCTTTGTAGACAGTAGTTCTCTTTTCTTTGAACAGGCTCTAAGTTCTGGTGTCTGCTGGATATTGTGCCCATAAAGAATGAGAAGAGTGACGTGGTCCTGTTCCTGGTCTCACACAAGGACATCACTGAAAATAAGGACCTAGACCATGGCAATGAATCTGACACTGGTGAGAGAAAGCATGAAAAGGTGCTGGTGGGGCATGACTGGTGATATTATACTGGGCGTTTGGGAGCAGAAGTAAGTTCCTGTACTTTTCTTAGCATGTCACTTCTGTGGTCTGTCCTTCCAGATGATGAAACAGGCCTGGAGATCCATCAGATCAGCTGCCCTCCGGGCTTTAACATGGCGCGGCGCCGTAGCAGGGCTGTTCTTTACCAGCTGTCTGGGCACCTACAGAAACCAGACAAAACAAAGAGCAAGCTCAAGATCAACACCGTGAGACACATTTGGCACTTTCTGTCCTCATTAGGGTTTGACCTACTGCTTTTTAAAGCATGGTACTGTTTTTATTTCAGGTTTGACTTTGACTCTCAGTCCTTACTCCATAGTTGTACAGAGAAGAATCAGGACTGAATCAACAATCATGAAATGTATTCATGCCCAATAATGAACCTTTTGACTGCCAGATTACCATTAGTTTATTGTGTCCAACACTGGGGGATTACACGGTTATAATAAATATTGCAGCCTCAAGGATACACCAACAAAGCTTGCACTTTTAGTTTTGCATTAAATTAGTTTCTGAAGGGGAGGATTACATGGTGTCAGCAGAGCGTGCATTTTCTCATAAAAGGGCAATTTGGTAGTCCAGTACTCTTTTCAAGGGCCTCATTTGCTCCTTGTTATTTGCATTCATTTCTGAGTCAGTAAGAGGAAAACTTGTAAATTCCAGTAAACGAAATGATACAAATTGTGCAAATCTGCCCTTGCAGTTCAATCTCAGTGACTCAGGACCTTAGAGGGGAGAAATTAGCATAAAAGCTCTTACTAGTCATTCACTTTCAGTGAGAGCCTGGCTGATGGTCAGAAGGTTTCACTCTCCTGCATCAGCTCAAGGACACATTGTATTTGTCTTCAATATCCACTGTATACTTTGTATACTGTTATTTTGGTTTGTGTGAGACGAAGTACTCTAGGCCTATAGACTGACAAGGCAACAAATTGTGAGGTGAAGCTGCTAAATTAGTTGAATTTTCTTTTAACGTTGACCAATTTGCCTCTGAAATAAAGCAACACTCACACCATGCAACACAAGTTTCCAGTGAAACCACACCACTAGTACTGATGATGAAATATTTATGCTGAGTACTGGAGATCCTTTCAAGGTCAGAGCTCCCCATTACTAATTAGACAGATATAAAATCCTTCATTTTTAATGTCTATGTGTGTTTTCATAAATCATTCCCAGAATGTTCTGGGAGCCAATGCTAACCCGGTCCCAGAGTACAAGGTGGCGGACATCCAGAAGTCTCGTTTCATCCTCCTTCACTACGGTGCATTCAAGGCCGTCTGGGACTGGCTGATCTTGTTGGCCACGTTCTACGTCGCCATTACTGTTCCCTATAACGTGTGCTTCACAACGGTGGAGGTACGAGAGGATGGTGGCTCTGCAGCACGAAACCCTCCGAGTGTCAGCGATATCTTGGTGGAGATCCTCTTTATCATTGGTAAGGCTGTGTTGACGTACTTGTCAAAAAAACTTTGTTGTTATTTTAAAGTGTTTTATGCTTTGGCATCAGATGGAGCTTTGCCATTAAAACTGATTCCAGTCTTTCAGTTACAGACTTCATTCTTAGTTTTATCTCCTTTCTTTCATTCATTTGTCTCTTTAAGCCGTGTCTCCTAGCTCCTGTGTCACTCCTTCTGTCTTAATTGGCCCATTTATGTAGACTGTATTCCCTCCAACTCCTCCCAACTTTTTCCTATTCTAACCCCGCTGTCTCCCTTCTGGCAATCAACTCTACTTAATCACACCCAAGAAAGGCTTGTTAAAAGAAATATTTTTACAGCATGGATATTACTGTCCCAGTTTTGGTGTGTCTGCAGTTTAGCCTAACATAATACTCACTATTACAGAAGCATTCAGTCCCCTGCCAGAAACAGCCTCACAGCAAACAGAGCCAGTGAAATATGAGCATTTTCCTGTAAGGTAGCTTCAATCTGCAATCATATGTCTATAGTGTTAGGTTGGTCAGAAAAAGTAAAGAAAAAAACTTGTTTTTACTTCATATTTTATTTGGATTGAACAAGTATGATGTTATTTGAGATTTGCAGGTGCTGGAAGGCTGATTTTGTGCCTTTGGCCTGAGCGAGGCTGTTTCCTCCTGTTTCTTTAAGATAAGCTAACTGGCAGCTGGTTGTTCAGTATGTAAATGGCATCAGTCTACTCATCTAACTCTCGGCCTGAACACAAATATTCCTTTAAAATGTGGGACTGTGCCTAAAAGTAAACCATGTACATAGTTTTGTACTACTGCAAAAGTAAACACCCAGGATGGTGGATGTGCTGTGTTGTGTGTCAGATATTGTGCTGAACTTTCGAACTACCTACGTGAGCACATCTGGACAGGTAGTGTATGACGCGCGCTCCATCTGCATACACTACGTCACGTCCTGGCTGTTTGTGGATCTGATCGCCGCCTTGCCCTTTGACCTGCTGTACGCCTTCAATATCAGTGTGGTGAGTCTCACACACACACGGTGTTCACACATACATACATAGCTATACAGCGTAGTTTTTAGTTTGCTATATACACATTTTGAAACCGCTTAAATTGTACAAGTGTTCACACATACATATATAGCTATACAACGTAGTTTTTAGTTTGCTATATGCACATTTTGAAACCGCTTAAATTGTACAGGTTTGACTGTGCTTGCACTTTTGTCTGTCATTTGTGTGTCTGTAGGTGAGTTTGTGTGTCTGTGTGAGGTACAGGTATGGGCCCAGCCCCTGATAATAAATGACAATCTTTCACCAGAAGCACTCTCCTGCTGTTCGGCTTGTGTACTGATTGATAAAACCATGAGAGAGCGTGCAAATGTGCAGTGAATTCTGAGGCAACACCACACAGACACACATGTGCACTTGTAAATGGTACAAATACACAGCAAAGGAAACAAAGTGTAACAAAAGTTGTGTTTACATTTAAAAGAAGAAAACTGTACATTACTGCAGAACATTTTGCCCCATATTCTGTTTCTGCTCTTCCTCTGCTCTGTGTTTGATGTAGTGGCTTTGATGGAGGAAAGCTGAGGCTGAGTTTCAACAAGAAACTCATTATTAGCTAAATGTATAATTAAGCTGATTAACGAGAGACTGTGACGACAAATTACAGGTGGAGGCAAGTACATTAGCCAGATGATGCCGAGCCAGAGCTGCTGAGAAGCCAAAGAACCAGGAAAATGTTCCTTTTACATTGCCATGTGTTCTTATGGTTTTCTTTATGTGCCTCCATGTAGAGCTACTGGTGTAACTGGTTTAGTAGATAGCAGAATAGTGTCTCTCTGGGCTTGTAGGGAATCAATACACGTGTGCTGAATGGATCCATATCCAGAGAATTAAGTGCTGTTTGAGGGAGGTGCTATTATTTAGCGACTGATGATTAAACCAGGGTTTAGATGCTCTGTGAAGATTGTCTTCCTCCAGTGTCATAGCCCATGGTCAGGATTACTGATCAGAGTTCTCAGTGTGCATGGGGACTTTCGAATTTCAAACATTTCTTGGCTCCAGATGGGAAACCTTTAACATAAACTTGAAACTGGGTTCTCATATACTGTATATCAGAGGTAAACGTCTACTGTACCTAGGAGGGACTAAACCCATCCAAATAAGCTCCACTTTTAGAACATTTCTATGTTTATACTTTCAAATCCATGACTCCTCTCTCCCAGAACTTCGGGGTGCACCTGCTGAAGACGGTGCGCCTCCTGCGCCTCTTGCGTCTCCTCCAGAAGCTGGATCGTTACTCCCAGTACAGCGCTGTGGTCCTCACCTTGCTGATGTCCACGTTCGCCCTGCTGGCCCACTGGATGGCCTGCGTCTGGTACTTCATTGGACGTAGTGAGATCGAAAGTAACAGTCCCACCTCCTGGGATATAGGTTTGTTTCTGTGGATCTTGTGTAGCTCAATGTGAGGATTTACATGGTTTCATTCATCACCCAAATCACATGTGAAACTCCCTGAGGCAGTATGGTTCAAATCCATTAAATAAACTGGCTAAGAATAGCTTGTTATAACACTTAATCAATATTTTTTAATTAACAAGTGACCACCTGACTCTGCTGTTCTTCTCAGTTCTAAGGAACACTTTGGCTCTTCTGTGTCATTTTAACTGATCTAGACAAAGCATGAAAACATGCTAGTACACTCAGCGTGAGGTGTGTGTGTCCTTTTACTGAGAAAACACTTCTAATTATGGTGATCAGTCTCCCTTCCTACTGTGCTCACTGGTGCCAAACAACAACAATACTGTCAGCTGCCTGTGGCGGTGATTGTTATTCTGCTCAAGTGATTTAAATCGGCAGAGGGGAGTGAGACAGGAAGAAAGCGATGAAATCAGTTGCATGGTATAAAGCTAGACAAACGATTTGCACCGTGCATAAATGTAAACTTGGATTTCAGTGTACTCCTCCCAAATACATAAACACCAACACTGAAGTAATTACTGTGCCCTTCTAGCCTTGTTACGGCTGCTAATGAAGTCTTCTTGTAAAGGCCATTTTACAAGCATGGATGCACTCTCATTAAACTGACAAACTCTTCTGGACTGTCCCCGTTCACCTACCAGGCTGGCTCCATGAACTGGCCAAACGCTTGGGAACGCCGTACTTCCTGGCACCACTGACCTCCTTGTTGGGAGTCTCTGATTCACCTCAAGGCACCATGACAGAAGGACTGACCAATTACAGCCAGTGCAACAGCTCACTGAATGGTCCCGGTTGGGGTTCAGGGCAGTGGAACGGCAGCAGGACCAGAGCGAGGACACCGAACAACTCAGGGATGACTCTGAGCGGTGGTCCGTCTGTCAGGAGCTCCTATGTGACATCACTGTACTTTGCTCTAAGCAGCCTCACCAGCGTGGGATTCGGCAACGTTTCAGCCAACACAGACTCCGAGAAGATCTTCTCCATCTGCACCATGCTGATTGGAGGTGGGCAACACAACACCAAATGGGTCACGACTTGTTTTCAGTGGAAGCAAAACAAGCACAATATAATGTTATTATTAGGATTTCATAATGAGAATGTCTCGTTGAATAGTTGAGTCTGATTAACATATAAAACATAATGCAAGCACCTTCAACCTCTCCATAGGCAAGCAATTGCTAACAGTTATGCAAAGTGATTTTACTGCTGGAAAAGGATTATTTCTCTTACTTGTGGCCAGAGCTGCCAGATATCTAGTAACTACAGCTGTTTAGAACATTACCTTCAACAGCTTGTTACGCCCTGGGCATGTAGAATAGATAAATGGTACAAAGTCCCCCAGAACATGAACTGAACTGCTGCAAAAAAGACATTTACTGAAACAGGCTTTACTGACGCTTTTGTCTCCTTGTCCTTCTCCTCTACAGCATTAATGCATGCTGTGGTGTTTGGCAATGTGACTGCCATCATCCAGAGGATGTACTCACGCCGCTCCCTCTACCACACCCGCACCAAGGACCTGAAGGACTTCATCCGGGTCCACCGGCTGCCCAAGACTCTCGAGCAACGCATGATGGAATGTTTCCAGACGACATGGTCTGTCAACAATGGTATTGACGTCAGCGAGGTAGGATTTATGGCATATTAAAACATTTTCTGGATGCACATGTCTGGACACAAACACCTAAATGATATCATTCTCCAATATGGTAAATGGTCTTATACATGTATACCGCTTTACAGCATACTCAACACGCTTTTACACTACTTGGCCATTCACAATCCCAAACACTCACACACCGGTGACATCACCAGGAGCAACTGGGGGTTCAGTGTCTTGCTCAAGGACACTTCTACATGTTGACTGGACAAGCCGGGAATCGAACCGCTAATCCTCCGGTTAGGAAGCGACCCGCTCTACCTCCAGAGCCACATCCGCCCCAATAGCAGGCTCTGTGACTGTAGTTGGCAAACCAGTATGTTTCTGAAAATGCCTGACTTTTCCTTAAGCTTTTGAAATGAGCTTGTGGTTTGGATTGACCTTGTCAGTTATAATGGGATCAACTGGCTCCTGAAATTGGAAATGCAAATCAGGCGACTCACCCTCCAGCCAGACTAAAGTAACAGCTCCAAATCACTGAGAGGATTTGTGTTTTGTTTTGGAGAAGCTGAGATTCAGTTTCATGGATTAATGGCCTCATAGACACACAAACTCACTCCTGCCATGGCTACAAATGATGAGATAACATGGCGAACAGACGCTAATGCTTTAGGGTAATAACCTACGACAGTATCAGTTCACCAGATATTAGTCATGAGAGCTGTTGCATTTGTTGTTATAATGTAGATATTTTAAACCTTCAAATAAACTTCAGCCAGAAACAGTTTGCTGGACATGCACCATCAGCTGGTTGTGACTATGTGGGAAGGTGAAAGGTTTTATTTCTCCTGTTCCCTCCCACACAGTCCCAGTCAAGTGATGACACAGAAAGGAAAGAAGCTCATAAAAAGCACTAAACACAGAGACTTTAGTGCAGTCACAGAAATCTTTTTGTGTGCCCATGTTTCACTGCTGAGGTCATGTTTTCTTCTCATTCCTCCACAGCTGCTGAAGGACTTCCCAGATGAACTGAGGGCTGACATCGCCATGCACCTGAACAAGGAGCTGCTGCAACTGCCACTCTTTGAGTCAGCCAGCAGGGGATGTCTGCGCTCGCTCTCCCTCATCATCAAAACCTCCTTCTGTGCTCCCGGGGAGTTCCTCATCCGCCAGGGAGACGCCCTCCAAGCCATCTACTTCGTTTGCTCAGGCTCCATGGAGGTACTGAAGGACAACACTGTGCTGGCCATCCTGGGTAAATATAAATACATATAAGAATAATTTTTATTGTCATAACATAATAAATGTGACATATTTCTCAAACAAGCAATGAGTTGCATTACTATAAGCAATAAAACCACTAGGGCTAGTTGTAAAAGAACTCAAAATGAGTTGGTCTTAATGAAAGGTAAAAATATATCCTTCCGTGTTTATGTTGACATGTATAGTACAATATAGCACAATACATAAGCTCGTATCACCACTGAGGTTCAGCACCATGGACAGCACCTGTTTCCACATTGAGGTCTTACTGGGGCCTGACTTACTGTGTTACACATTAAAGCAACATAGCTGACTCTTTTCTAATATCTCTTAGTTGAAATTTGCTCCAGAACATATCCTGATGTGGAGAGGTGGGTCAGATCATAGCAGAGCAGAGAGGGGTGGATTGCATTGCTCTTGCTAGCACTAGCTTGATTTCCAGCATATTGTCACCTTAAGGCTAAGAACATTAACGGACTATACTCCCATAGCAGGTAAGCCAGTGCAGTAAGTCTGGGAGGTTGAGTCCAGCTTCCTGTTGGGCCAAAAGACTGAGTGAGTAATTTTTCTACCTTTCTAAAAGCCCTCTAGATTCTGGCTGCAAAGTGATTCGGAAACCAGCATCCATGTCCGAGTGCAGAGCGTGAAGCAGAGGAGGAGCCATGGTTCAGTGCGTCTCTGAAAAAGAGCAGCACTGTGTTGTGTGCCAGATATTACTCCTGGGAACTCACTTCTGAAGCCAGTCATCAAAGCTTCCTTCAGCTCCACAGCTGTGGACACTGTGGAGCCTCTCTTAAAGTCCTGCCATCAGTACAGCAGCAGTCCTGCAAAAGATTCATGTTTCATATCCAAGATGAAAAAATATATCCATCAGAGACTCTTTACATGATAATCTCACCTTGACTGATGGACTGGCTGAGGGATTCAATGGCACCTTTGAAAAGCTACACAGCCTTGCAGAAAACAAAAGAAAGAATATGCATTAGCTGTTTCCAGACAGTAGAGTACATGCTGTTTAAATCATCAGGTTAGCACAGGCCGACGACCTGGGAGCACATGCAAAATGACAGGTGAAAAGAAGGAGAAGAAAAGCGCATGTGTGACAGACAGATTAACACGTGATATGTGGAAAAGTGGCAGGGACCATATACATTCATGGAAAAGATGTGGCCCAGATAAGCTGCAGTGAAACCTTTTGCAGCATTACACCATGAGAAAGGGCTCTTACCACTTAGGACATCATTAGACCATTAGTAGATGACTTTTAATAGCCAGTTAGGGTTTATAAAGAGAACCATAATGAGGAGGAGCAGTCTGATAACAAATTCCAATCATCCCCATATTAAAGGGTCCCTGTGGACACACAGTTCACACCCCATCAGGTGAAAAATGGAGTGTGACCCAGAGACTGATGAGGACATTTGGGCAGCAGCCAGAAGCCTGAGTAGATTTCCATCAGCAGCATTATTCAAACATGAATTAATGAATGATTTTATTCATTTATTTTTCCACTTGCTGACTGTGGAACAAGCTGTAAACACAACACTGAGATATTATCACCTTATAAAGCTGCTATGGTCAGCGTGTTAGCAAACAGTTGCATGTACACACCCAGTAGACATGAGGCAAGTAAATCTAATATTCACTCACTAATTCACTAATTTTAGCTCTGTTTTGGTCTTCACCAGCTCCTAAAGGAAGCCGCACTAGTTGCTAACTTTGCCTGTCTGCAGTGTGGTGCTGGATAGGCATGTACACTGGCTTTATCACTAACCGCAGCTGCCTGTTGGAGGAAGTGAAGATTTCAAAGGCTTGTATCTGTGAATTAATAGTTAATTAATGTTATAGATTGTTAATATAAAACAATATAAACTCAGGTTTATGGTGCAACAGGAAGTTCAACCCCATCCCCCCACACTTGAACTTTAAGTCAACATTTTGTGTTATAGTATTAAAACTGGGCACAAACAAAAAAGCACAAAATTTTACAACAAAAATAATAAGAAATTGATAACATACCCCCATTTAAATATGCAGATATGATGACTAAATCCAGAAATTAATCCATTAGCACTGCCATGCCAAAATGCTGTTACTCAGGAAGCCCATAAAACTGCATTAATACAATGCCAAATTAATAAAATGCTTCATGTGAGCAGCTAGAAACACAAACTTGTGTTAGTGTCATCCCACCAGAGTAAGAGCCTCTCTAGAGCCATGTCCTGCAACATGTGTACGCCTTCCATTCTGCATAACACAGATGAAACTGAATAGAGAAACACAAACAGATTCTCAAACAACACTGGAATCAGTCCAGGTCCATATAAAGCAGAGGGATCAAACTGGCAACACTGTTTTTCATATTAATGATCTAACTGGTGTAAATAATGTAGTGGCTGCTGCCTCCAGAGGAAAGAGGGTAAACTCATTAGCACGTTGGACCAGCTGTGTGTGTGCCCATGCACAAACACACACATTCTCCTCCTCTTTCTCCTGTGTGATATTCTTTGTGTTATTTTTTCACAGCCACATAGGCGCACTCACAGTCACACTGCTCTAACAGGCACCCAAACACTTGCCCTGATGACTGAAACACACGCTGCTCACACATTTGAGTTTTTACAGTTCTTCCTGCTGCTCTCTTTTCTCTTTCTCACACACAGACATGCACTCAAATTGTTTTGGCAGTGCCACTTTGCATTTTCAGCTCTGGAGACGGCAGTGAGGTAGAGAGAGAGAGAGAGAGAGAGAGAGAGAGCACAAGGAAAAAGAATAATACAGGCTTTCTGTGCTAATCTGTAACAGTTCATCTATATCCCACAGAGTGTACTTTAACACTATGCTTAAATTGTCTCACCATGCACATCAGACTCTGTTGTACCATGTTTTAGGCTGAACCATGTCCACAAAGTGAGACTAGAAGCGGATAACTGGGTTTGCAGTCACCCAAGTGTTGTACTGGATATTCATGTATTCATTGCTATGGGGTTATACTGCACTGCAAGTAGCCATCAAAAGGCTTTGTTAGCGCACGGCATCAGTTTGTTGACACGTTACTCCCACCAACTTTCCACATGCACGTTTGTCTTTGCTCACAAACCAAATAAATGGAGACCCACTCATAAAGAGTAAGCTCCATGGCATCAGTTAAAAAGTCCTCAGGGTATTTTCAAGGAAGTATACTGTAATACAATGCACCATACATGTCCAGCCATGCAGTATTGCTCAAATATCAATTTATAGATGCAGTACACTTGGTGCAGGAATGTTATTTTTAATTAATTATGAGTTTGACTGTGATCAGTGGAGTGCACACCAACATGATGAGTAAACACTCTACTACTTTAATTGTCCAGGAACCCCAACATTAACAGCCCATACATGTACAGTTCATTACATTTTATTACTTTATGTAACCGGTAAAATTGATTTCCCCTGTGCCTCCATTTTCCAGGTAGGGGTGACCTGATTGGCTCTGACTGTATGACACAGGAGGAAGTGATTAAGACCAATGCATGTGTGAAGGCCCTGACCTACTGTGACCTGCAGTACATCAGTCTCAAAGGCCTCCGCGAAGTGCTCGGCCTCTATCCTGACTATGCGCAGAAGTTTCTCACTGAGATCCAGCATGATCTAACATACAACCTCCGGGAAGGACACAACACTGAGGTACAAGATGATGTGACTGGTGTCAAGAGGCTTTGAATGTAATTTCTAATGCAAAGTAAGTAAAAAAAATGATGAGTTGATTAAGACTGAATATTTCAAAAATCTTCCTTAATTATCATTAGGGGCAAACAAACACAAACACTCCCCAAAGAAATCTCTCATTTTTAGTCCTTAGACAAGGGACGGGGCAGCATGGCGGAGCAGTGAATAGCACTGTCTCCTCACAGCAAGAAGGTTCTGGGTTCACGCCCCGGCCAACCCGGGGCCTCTCACTACAGAGTTTGCATGTTCTCCATGTGCCTGTGTGGGTTCTTTCCAGGTACTCCAACTTCCTCCCACAGTCCAAAGACATACAGCTTGGGTTGATTGGAGAATCTAAATTGCCTGTAGGAGTGAGTGTAGTTGTTTGTATTCCTGTCAGCCCTTTGATAGACTGGTGACCTGTCCAGGGTGTACCCTGCCTCTCGCCCAATGATAGCAGGGATTGGCTCCAGCCTCCCCATGACCCTTATTAGGATAAGGTGTATAGATAATGAATGGATGGACAGATAACGGCCAGAGTCATAGGCAGACTGACGTCTATATTGAAGGGTTCCTGCTGCTCCACCAATTCATCTGTTGTTCTTAGGCTCCATCTTACCTTAGCTTGTGACTTGCGTTGTCCCTGTCTGTAAATGCAGACCCATGATCTGCTAGCTGCTGTAAACAAATAAGACCTATATTTCTCCTATTGCATTCATTGCAAAAACTCATCTCTCAAAAACAAGAAAGAAGATGATACAGTGGGAGAAATTTCACTTAAAACAAGCAAAATTATATGGTGTCAAAAGAGGAAATTATCACTTGCTAAGAGTTTTAGAAACAAGTAAGAATATCTAGTCTCACAGAGCTCTTAAAACTAGTGCAGCTAAAAACAAGTACATTTATCTGACACTAAGCAGTTTTGTACTTGTCAGTGTTGGTCAAACAGCTTTATAAATCTGGTAATTCTCATTTCAAGCATTAAGTTACTCAGAACCAGCCTTGCAATCTGAGTAACAAGTTATAGTAGCTTATGACAATAACTAAGGAGAAAGTGAAATGTTCTAACATAAAACCTACTTGATAAGAAATAAAGTGAAAGTTTTAATCCATGGCCTGTATTACTGAACTCAAAGCTGGACTATTATGTTACATTATGGACTTTGTATTAGTTCAAAGTGACTACAGATTCCAATCAAGGTAAATAAATTATTATCGTTACCATTATGTACTGTAGCGGTATTTATCTCCTAAACCAATAACAGTATGCTGTTGCAAGGTATTGGAACTGATGAGTGAATCATCTCACATTTCATGGTTCAAAGCCAAGTCCGGTTCTCAGCTGTGCAGTAACCTGCTCCACCCAATGTTTCATGCAATGCCATAGTGATTCCTTTGCACTTGAAAAGGATTAACCATCTGGACTGGAAGTGAAGACAAAGCCACGGCTTCTGCTTGAGATGCAGCCAGCAGATAAAGACATGCACTAAACATTCGGATGCCAGGGATTTACAGATGGACCTGGGCTGTAGCGTACAAGTCATGTACTGTATGTCTGAAAAAAAGCTGGCTTCGTTATGGCTGCCAGTCTCGGCTGACTGGCGTTTATTTCACAGCTTAGCCCAGCTTTTTTAAAACAAATGGTTAGAGTCGATGCAAGATAATTAATGGATTCACTCATGGATAGAGGAAACATTTAAACATTAAACAATTTAAACTCTAAATGGCTGTCAGTGCCTTACACACATATGCATACTGTATACGCCTACAGCGACAGCAGTACTTCATCTTCCACTAAAAATAGCTCTGTTGGATCGGTGGGGGATGGGTGGGGTCATCCCTGGCTGGATAAATATAGAGCAACATCCAGATGGAGACGAGAAAACATCAGGATGAAAGAACGCTGCAGGGGGGAAGGAAGAGGGATTATTTGCATTCATGCACCGACACACACGCACATGCTAGTTCCCATATATGAACATGCAACACACACCCATTTCTCTTTTCTTTTTATGCACATAACTGGCTGATGCTTTTATTGTGGTGTGTTTTATATCAAGCGTGGCACAGGCTGCTCACACACACACACACACACACACACACACACACTCAGAAAGTTTCTTCTCTGCCAGTCTGTTCCCTCCAGACCATCCTCTGGTAAAATTAAACCTCTGTGATCTAAAAATACCAGCTGGGCACGTGAGCTAAAACTGGATGGGGAAGACAACAGTTACAGGGTAGAGGAGAGGAAGGGTGGTGTGACAGGGGAGAAGAGAGAAGATGGAATTTGTCTTCCACTGTTTTAATCAGCTTTAAAATTCAGTCCAGAGAACGTGCAGGGAATTTATCCAGTAACCTTTAGCAAACAGTAAACAGTAGCAACATGCTTGTTGCAGGAACTTTATTTTAAAAGTACAATCTGTTTGGATTGTTAGGACTCAGACACTTCTACTGTAGCAAAGTCATTCATTAGTTATATTTTAAATCTGAGATCACAGAAACCTTCAAAAGACTGAGTGTCTTTGGGAGTGAATGGATGAATGATGCTCCTTTGCAGCGCTGCTTGTGAACTGAATGGATTTCAGCACCATTGCAGCAGTTGTGAATGGCAAGTCTTCCCTCTCAGTGAAGCTTCTAATAGCTCAGCAGCTCCCCTGTCTGGTCACACAGCTCCACCGCCTCAGAGCTGTTTTTATTTCTGACCATTCATTCATGCACAAGCTGTATTGGAGCTCCATGCCTCCTTCTAATTTCAAGCAGGTTTTCAGTTGTGGATTTATGCAAAAGTGACAAAATTATACCTTATTTTATATTTAATATAGCTAAAAATTGAGTTGTTGAAATGTAGGTGACACAGCTGTGAAACATACAAGTAAATTGTGGATGATGTAATGCAGGTGTGTCTCTATTGCTGTCAAATCATTAATCATTTTCATTCTTCAGGCAGACTGTGAGAGCAACGGAGGGATCATGAAGAAACTTCCTTCCATCAGGGAGGATGAGGAAGCATCAGGGTCTGAGGGGGAGCACTCCCCTCTTCCCAGGATTGCTGCCCTTGGCAGGTTGGGCAAAGGCCTGCGCTCTCCCCTGCGCTCCCCTCTGCGCTCCCCATTGCTGCCACCGAGACCCTTCAGACCGGTGAGCGATTGCACTCGGCCCTCCAGCTTGCAGATCCCCGTGATGAGCTTCAGCTGCCTGCAGCCAGATCTCAGCCCTCGGTAAGGAGCCAATAATTTACTGGCTAGGCTGGCTGGAGGAGTTCATCAGGTTGTCCTCTTGGGGATTTTACTTGCATTCCTTGTGACTTGTGAAATTATTCATTTACACAAACAGTCCACAGGCTAGTTGGTACTGAATCCCTGGAGAAGTGGCAACAGACGCTGGACTGGAGGAATCAGTTTGTCTTGGTTCAGCTTTTACAAAGTGCCTTAATTAGAGTCCCGAAGATCCATGAAGAGAATCTCTAAAATATGAGGAGGTTATTTTTGTCTTTCCAGCCCTGTGACAAAATCACTGAACACCACAGAAGAAGAGACTTAACATGATACCCTGCACTTGGATTCTATGAATGAATGAGAAACCTTTTTGTTGCTTTGGCAATTAAACTACATCCAGTTTGTGTTAAACACAGGATATGTGCAGTCTCCAACTGTCACTGTGCTAACCCACACAGTTTAATTACAATTAGACCTACAGTGTTAACCTCACATTTGTCATTGTTGCCTGCTGCCACCATGTGGAACCTTTGTGTCATTGTCTCACACTGAGCCAGCAAACAAAGGGAAATGCAAATTTTGGCTATTACTGATTTTAATGCCACAGTACTTAATTTGTTATCATTATCATAATCACAAATCAAAGTCCTGCGTGATGTTCACTGACCTCCCCTTCATGTGTGTCCTCAGGTTTGTAGATGGGATCGAGACAGAAAACCAAAATGGTTCAGCTCAGAAGTTTGATTTTTCTCCCAGTGAAACCCACAGAGTCCTACCCAGCCCTAAGTCAGCGACCTCAGGTTAAAACACACTATCAGGCTGAACCACATCACTTTTCCTAAAAACGCCAACTATATCAGCACCATCTAAGCTGAAAATGAATAATTCATCTGTTCTCATTCAGGATGCTTGCATGTGTCCACAGGGCCTCATGATGAGTGGGACACTGCGCAGACTATTGCTAAGCTAAAATATGAGGTAAGGAAGGTAACACTATGATGCTACAGAAAAAAACAATTTAAAAAATACTTAATTTTTAAATAGACCTGTTTGTCTCTTCCATCTGACCCCTCCCCCGTCTCCAGATGAGCGTCCTTTCCCATCAGGTAACTGCTGTGAGTCAGGAGCTGCAGGAAATGATTCGTCTTCTCAAACCCCTCTTCCACCCGTCCACGCTGTTGATCCCCAGCACTGTGACTCCTCCCAGCGTCTCTTCACACAGCTGCTCCATGGCCCCGCCCCTACTTACCCAACATGCACCTGTGGATTGTTCAATCCATCAGAATGCTCCGTCCATTCTGGTACCTGAACCATCTTCACCTCAGCTGAGCAGGAAGGTGCTACAAGGAGAATTTGATCCACTTCAGTATTCCCCCTCTCGGACCAGCATCCTCCATAGTCCACCAGTTCTTCACCAGACCACCCTCCCAGTGTCTCATTGCTCAGCCCCACCGTCACTCAACAGCTCTCCCCATGAGCACACAATTATGCCGCATCCCTGCTCATCTTCCTCCATACTTTCTCTTTCTTCAACAAGCCACCCATCATCCACCACTCCACTGCTGGTAGATTTATCAGGACCTGGACGTCAATCCCATCTCCTGCTCCATTCCCAGTCTGAGTCCCAGCTCCAGTTCCATCCTGAGTGCCAGTTTGTATCCCAGTCTTATCCCCATTCCCTTTCGCAGCCTCACCTCCGGCCCCTTCTCCAGACCTCTAGCTCAGCATCACGCCCTTGGAAACCCTTCCTGGACCTGCAAGAGGTGGAGTGGGAGGAGCGCACCGCCCAGCTCAGCTTCATCGATGAAGGACAACCGTCAGTGTGAACAGACAAACAACACCCTGACACACCTTGCACAGCTTATTGCATGACAAACATTTGCCCAAAGTTTGGGATGTGAGCTACGATATAAATACAAGTTTAAACTATTATTAACTATGATCATGAGCACCAGGTGTAAGCAGGTCTGATAATAAAAGAGTTTTTCAGTTTCATCTGGATTTATTTAATACTCCTGAGTGATATAAAAGCAAGATGACTGATCCTACAATAATCCAAACCTTTTTAAAGCCTCAGCAAAAATAAGAAGAAGCTTAAACATCTGCGTGCTGAACAGGGTCAGACGAACTCACAGTCCTCTAACGTCAACGTTATCAACTTTCACAAAAGGCCACATTATGGGAATCTATATGATTTACAGCTTTTTTTAAATAATAAAATAATACATCTAACAAATTCCTAGTGTTGATATTTTCCAGCTAGTTTGGAGTCAGTCTTGGTCTAACGTGTGATGAAGAAACTTGAAGCCTCACTCCAACATTGGACTTCTCAAGAAGTTGGAAACATCTAGTATTCAGCAGTTTAAACTTAGAATACTATATAACATAATACCAGAATTTCCAAGGACGGAGAAGAAATAGATGTAATTTTGAGAATGTTTTCATTGAACCTTTTTGTGTAAAAGGCACATCTGGCACAACATATTATCCACAGCACAGCATTTTTACATGTCTTAAACCATTTCTGGCAGTCTCTGAATAATTACAGTACACACCACTGTGGGGCAGCTTTTCTACAGTGCAAAGACAACAACAAGCTCTACGCTCCTCTTCTCACAGGCCCACGTTTTCTGCTGTTTGAAGTGATATGTCAGAACAAAGAAGAATCTCTTAGTTGAACTTAGAAAATAGATCATATGAAGACTGGAGCTGCAACAATGGACAGAAAATAAATCAGCAGCTATTTTGACAACTACTATTTCAAGCAGCAAAGTTCATTTTCATTGTCATAACATAATAAATCAAATATCTTTGGGTTTTGGTTGAACAAAACAAGACAAGATGGTGGAGATTTTTCACATTTTTGAACTTTTTTGTGACATTTCATTGACCAAGTTATTAATGAATTCATCAGTAAAATAGTTTGCAGATTCATTAGTTAAACCTGATTGGTGGGACACATGACATACATGAAGGAACTAAACACTTCTTCTACCTAAAATCATTGAAAGAAAAACCAACACAAAAACACTACACAAAAATGACCAATGGAGAAAAAGAATAACAAGAAAGTCAATTTAGTACAACTTTGGCTGCGTTACTCCAAACACAGTCTACTGTGTAAAACAATTCTTTCCTCTGCTTTTGGTTGCCAGTGTCCACCACCTCCTTTTGGCATAAACTGTTCACTGTGTAAGTGAATCAAAAGTACATATCCGTCTCCACATGGTACTTTGAGACCATACAAGCATGGAGAACATCAGTATTTCCTGCTACAGGTAATAAAAGCTGGTTTGTTTTTATTGGAGCCTTAACTGCAACACACACCATCACACACACTCATGGGAGCTGTCAGGAATACTTGGGATGATGTGGGACAGACGAGCGTCGGTGCTGTTCACACATGCAAACACACACACACCCACAAACCACAGAGGCAGAGCGACAGGAAGGCAGACAGGCTGAGTAGTAATGATGGGTGACTGTTGTGACTGTTCTTCCATCTAGAATAAATGAAGGAACGCTGACCGCCACTGGTGAAGCACAGGCTGCTGTCTGGAAAGACACAAACAAAATATGTGCAAGATGGACACATGAAAGGTTTTTCATGTCATTTCTCTGCTCACAATGAAACATTACAATCAGGCTGTACATTAACATTACATTACAAACTGGGAGAATTATACTGGAAACTATAATGAGCTCCGGTGACTGGCATCAGATTTAATATTATTAAAAGAGTTTTAATGAGATAATTCTGAGGTAAAAGTCAGTAACTTTAAGATTTAAATCATAATTATGTGAGTAAACTCAAATTTTCCTGAGATCAAAATTATAATAACCATAATGTTTTTGTCTTTCTTTCTTCTGTATCAAACTGTGAACCAAGATTTTTAACTAGGCTGAAAAACTAGATGCTATTGATCATTATATAATAGATCAATTATCTGCCCATCTTGTTGTCATTGTCAACTCAGATTTGTACATTTAGTTTCTTTAGCTATTCTTCTTCGTGTACAAGTAAGAGCAGCATGACAATACAGACCTCATGTGGCTATAGTGGGGCAACAGTAATTTCATGTAAATAAGGAAAACACAGTATTGTTGTACTACAGCTAAATTTAACTTGTCCTAAAATTTTTCTGCTGTGACTCAGTGGTGTATGGCGTTTCTGTAACTGTCCTGCAAAAATCCAGTCTTATTTATTTTTTCATTCGACCTTTACTTATACTGGGCGCTTTAACGAGAGCTTCCTTTTTCATGAGCTTCCTGATTAACGTATTTACAAAGCAAACTGTAAATCAAAGATAAAGAAAGAGAAGGGCATCAAACCAGTAATGAATGAAACAATATGGCACGAGGGTCTGGTTAACCTTGAAGATTAAAGACCGCTCAACTCTAAACACATAGTCACATGTGGAGCCAGTTAAACTCAGCCAACGAAATCAAGCGACTCAGTGTCTGTAGTTTATTCCATCTGACTGTCAAGGCCTTTTCATCAAGCTTTGTTCTGAGGTCAGAAAAAGACACTCCTGATGTCTCATGAAGAGGCGACACAAGCTGAGCTGTGTTGTGCTAAACCTGTCACTTCTGGAGATGGGACTATTTATGCACAAGCTAAATATGCTTTAGGAGGCAATGCATGTTGCAAACTGTAGTGAGGTTTGTGTGAAATGTTTAAAAAAATTCCCCAAAGCATATTTTTGTCCCTCTCAATCCTTTGATTTGAGTTTTTTTTTCTTTTCACCACAAGGGGGCAGACAATCAGCTTCTATCCAATGATATGCACCTTATTAAAATGTTCTGTATATTCCTTTAGGTGGCTTGGTGGAGTGATTAGCGCCGTCACCTCACAGCAAGAAGGTTCTGGATTCAAGCCTTTCTGGAGTTTGTATGTTCTCCCTGTGCCTGCGTGGGTTCTCTCCCGGGACTCTGGCTTCCTCCCACTCTCCAAAGACATGTAGCTTAGGTTGACTGGTCACTCTAAATTGTCCCTAGGACTGAGTGTGAGTGTGAGTGGTTGTCTGTGTCTAAGTGTCAGCCCTGTGATAAACTAGCGACCTTCCCAGGGTGTACCCTGCCTCTCGCCCAATGTCAGCTGGGCATAACCCTATTCAGGATAAGTAGAATAGATAATGGATTGATGTATATCTCTGTAGGTCTCAGAAAATATTTCAGGAATATTTACTGCTATTTAACAGCTTTGACATCACTGCAGTTTCCTTCCCTTCTTCTTTTCTGCCAACATCTAAGAAATGAATTGTCCTTTCTACATCTGTGATTATAGTCTATATTCTTTCTAGAAAGAAAAAGGTGCCTTCATTTTCCCACCAACTGCACAGCTCCACCTCTACTTTCTCTTTTTATTGATTTGAAACACTGAGGGCTTCATATCAATTAATGTTAAAGATTATTACTTGAATAAATGTAAGTATTTTTATGGATGTAGCTGTGTCTTTGGCTTTCCCTCCCATACCTCTTCTACCTCCTCCCTCTCTCTCCCTCTCTCTCTCCTCTGTCATTTCACTGCTCTTTGCTCAGCAGCCGGCATCAGTCTGTCCTCATCCCTCCTTGTCTTCAAAGCTCCTTCCTCACTCTTCCCATCTTTTTAAAACAATTTTATTATTATTTTATTTTTTTTTTACAAAAGGAAACATTGGAAAACCTTTTTTCTCTCAGGCTGGATTCACTGGTTTTCACCAATGGATGGAGTTTATTCCCCAGCAGGCACAGTGACTTCTTAAAAAGTGAGTGTGCATGTATGGAAAACTTCTTCAGAATAAAACTTGGCAAACTGTAATACAATGTTAAATTGAATGAGTTTAAGATGTAAAACAAAATGATAGAAAGTTATGCAAATACCCACGTAGACTATGAAGTAACGCTTCACAGTTTAAAATGCAGTTTACAATGTGCAGTTTAGTTGTTTCATGTCATTCACACAGTACACACAAATGGGCCTCTTGGTTTTATTACAGCAAGGTAAACAGAAATCTGTCCTTTACCTAACTAGAACCAAATGTAACCATAAAAAATAGATTTTTTTGGGGTCATTTGTTGGTAAGTATCAGTATTTATAGTACAGACCACAATCACATTTCTGAGATACAGTGTGTGTCTGAAAATGTGTTTACCTTTAGAAAATAGTTCATGAAAATAGATACATTCCTATTTAGTACACATACACTTCATGTGCAGTATAAGCAGGCAGTTTAAGTAATGTCCAATATTGTTTGAATTAGTTATGTTAGTTGATTATAGGTTAAGATTCAATTTAGGACTTTCTTCCTTGGTTTCTATTAATGATCTTTACTGTAGTTTTCTATTTATTTCAGTGACACGTTTCTCATTTGACAGCTACGTTAAAGTATAAGAATTACTGTTTAATGCATTTTATTTGTGCGATGGAAGCTACAACTCCTGAACACTATGTTATCTTTGTCCTTGAACTGGGACTAGGGTTCACAGGTATATTGAAATAAATGTCATTTTCTGGATATTTTTCAAATGTTGTACTGGGAATGTGGAAGTATCTGAGGTTCAAAACAACCAGAGAGTCTAAATCCAGGAAAGAAAGTTTCATGCTGTGAAAAAAAATTGAAAATGTGCTGATTTAATGTAAAGCTGTATAGGATGCATAAAGTGAGGCCTTTTTATCCTTTGGAGATAAAGGAAAATCAATTTTATAATCAATTTAATTGATTCAGTTTGCCATTTACACATTAGATTTCACTATGTTTGACTTACAGCCTTTCAGTGGCATTTCATGTTTAGAAGGCCGGTCCTCATCTCTCTACTGTATGTCGGTGTTTTGAAAGTAAAACACAATTTCAAAGTTATACAGCAACTATTAAAACATAAAGACAAGGTCCTCAGATGGCTACTTGTAGCATGAGGAGATGTTGAAAAAACATTACTAAAGATGGACATGATGAGATGTTGAAAAAACATTACTAAAGATTGATATGACCTTCTTTAAAGCAACATAAACCATTGTCCAATCATTCTAGCCTACAGTGTAAGGACCCTTTTCCAGGCCTGTCATTTGTTAACAGCTGCACCTAATAAAATTAATAATGAGCAGAGCTGCATTTGCTCCTATTGAGGCCCTTGTCAGCGTCGTTTTATTCATTGGCATATATTGTCAACAGATTTCATTTGAATCAGATGGAGCTGTTATTAGATTAATGTCATTAGTGGCAGCTGTGTTTGTCCTCAGGTGCCTTTAGCTGCTAAGAGCGACAGGGAACCTGATATAAAAGTTGAGACTTGGTAAATAAAGCCAATAATCATTAATACCTTTATGCCAAGTTTACCCGAATGTGCTGAAGATTTAGCCCGTATTCAAGACAACTGTGTCTGTGCAGATAATGACTAAGAAAAAATTAACATATAATTAATTTCAGAGGCATTTGAATAAAATTTGTTGCATGTGCATGCTACACCACGGAGAGGCCACATTCCTGTTAACACAAGTTCTAACAATGAGCATCAGCATCAGTTAAAGTTGAAGAAATACATATAACACTGGATTCCAGGAACAAAACAGCGTAATACAATGAGTTACCAAAAGAGAAGAACGGGCTCCTTGGGGTAAGTCAAGGCTATACTGTTGGTCTGTTTCAGACACACAAATGATAAAAATGATAAGGATTATAAATATTAATACTATTCCCACAGTTCCACAGGTGATGCGCTGTAGTGAGGCTGTGTAAAAAATTCTCAATATGACCAAAGACTAAATGAAGTGGAGTTCCCAGATGACCATCAGGACTTTGTGGGAATGCAGAGTGTCTGTGTTGTCTTTTACACATGACGGAGCACATGTATTTATCATTAGTGCTGGGTTTGTGTGCAAAAACCTCCACGTAACCTGAAAATGTGAGCTGGAGCTTCAGTGGGAGCGGTGATGATCTAAATCCATGGTATTGCTTTGTGGTTTGGAAAACAGAGCTGTCACTGTCCATACTGTGTGATGTGAGTGTTTGTGGCTCTGTAGTGCGTTGTGTGTATGAACCAGGTTTTGTGGCCCTGGGGATGTTTATTATTCTGTATTTAGTGTTCTTCCTGATCAGAGAACCTGTGCCTTTCTCAGATTAAACGTTAATTGAAGGTGTTTAATGTGAGTGCTCACTGGGAGGCAGCTTTAACACCCTGTGAACAGGAATGTCAACAAAGCAGACACTGGTATGTACCATGTTTCCAGAGATGGGTCGTGATTTAGACTGCAGAACCAGATTTCATTTTATTTCTTATCTGTCTACAAGTGTAATGCCCTTGAACCCACACAGAGACCACACAGAAACTCCTCTGGAGCTCCTGGAAAGTGTCCCAAAATCCCAAGAACTGAAATTCAGCTAGTTTTAACTGTACCTGGGATTCCCTGGAACCCACTCAAGGACCTCATGAATTCTCTCCAGGGCACTTGGGTGTCCTCAAACTCCACTCTGGTATTTCTCTAAGTAGATATGATGCCATTAGAGGCCCAATTGAGTGCTCTTAGGACACTAAGAACTAGGAAGTAGATCCTGCATAAGTTAATCTGTTGGGCTACCGACAACTGATTTGTTGGCTCTGTGTTCTGTTTAGGTGTGTGTTGAGAAAATGACGGCATGAAGGAAATAAAGCAGTTATCCCCCTGGAGAAAAATGGACTTTATTCAGAAAAGAGCTTCACAGGTTTGTGGTGGACTGGGGAATGTTCAGTAAATGTGCTTTATATTAATAGATTGAAACAGGTTAGCAAAAGCGACGTAGGACAGGCAGCTGCTCCGCGAGGGACGTGATTAGCAGCAGGATCAACATGGTGCTCTTAAAGCATATTTGTCATTGAAAAACATTTTTTCTGAAGGGATATTTTGAAGGTTGGAGTTTATTGCCTGCTGTTATTTTTTTGTCAGTTAAATGCTAATTTGGTCAGAGGGGAGGAAGCCTGGGTGGAGCTGAGGTGGGGCAAACACCCCTTATTGTTGTACTACAGCTAAATTTAACTTGTCCTAAAATTTTTCTGCTGTGACTCAGTGGTGTATGGCGTTTCTGGAAATATTTGATTCTTAATAGTGCTGTGTGTGCATTATGAGTGCGTATCAGTGGAGCTTGAATTTAATTCAGTGACACAAAGTCAGTCCCAGAGAGGGACAGCAACTCACTGTGCCCCATCCTGTGATTTATTTGTTGTTTTACTGTTTGTGTTCCACTGGAATTTTTAACGGCAGCTAATAATTCTATGTGTTTTATTATAACCATGTGATGCTTGGGTTTCAAATGAATGTGTTGCTGCTGGTTTTACAGTCATCCCACTGAAAACCACGAACACACAACAGCTTCCCCAGTGGTGATACTGTTCATGTACGCTTCTGAGGCTTTGCTGACATTTAAGATGTAAAATATTTTTTTTAACCATAAGACAGTGCAAAGAAAGTCTTATTGTGTAGTGCTATGCAATGCTGTATAATATTGTGGCTTTTTTGGTCATGTCTCGTGATGTTCCCTGTCCTTTTCTGGCTTCTTCGATCATGTCAGTCAACATCATGTTGCACTGTGTAACATCCTGTCATGTTGTCTTGTGTCCTGTTACAATACTGTTTGCAAACTTATGTCAAGGGCTTCATGATTTCACCTATGTGGAAGATAAATGACAAGAACATCATGTATACATAAGGAACAACAGAGTTTCTTCACTTTTTTTTTTTTTTTTGGCTACGTTCACATTACAGGCTGAACATGTGAATGTAGCTCAGAGGACAGATTCATCTCATCTATATCATGACCAGTAAGTTGACACACAGATATGGTGTGTGAGTAGAACAGCATCATTTTCACAGTAAAGTTTGATCGCCCCACAATACAGAGCTCATTGTCACAGTGGTCCATAGCCGCCATGCACCTTCACGCCTGTTGCTATATTGAGCTGTGTATTCTTCTGCGACTAAACAAAGGATTGTCTGTATTTAGTCTGCGAGAGAACGCCACTGGTCGACCTGTGATTTGTCCCAGATGGCTGTGACTCTCTCTGTTGTGGTTGTCCCTGCTTCTCGTGTGTGTAACCAAGAAAGAAATAGGCTCGATGCATTGGTTGAGGAGGGACTGATTGTTGATGGGACTGTCTGTAGTGGCTCTACACTGTCAACACTGGCAGTATAAAGGATACACAGTGATGAACTGTAGGAGGACTATCTGGCTGTTTTTCCATGGGATATAGTTCCTGATATAAGAGCCGCACACATCATTCTTGACGCTCTGTAAATCAAACCTCGATAAAATGATGTACAAAGAAATGGGGCACAGTTGTGTCTTTATGTAGTCCTGTAAACCAACTGTATTCATGCTCCTTTTAGAACTAGATATCAGACTGATACTGGACTTTGTTCTTTTATTTTCGTGCTCATTTAAGAACATTTCTAAGCCCCTGATTTATTCTTATAGATCAGAGGTTTCCACTTTACATGAACGTCCTTATGTTCCTGTACTTCTCCCCCCCCAGATTCACACACTGTGCTGGGTGCTCCTCCTGAAGTTGTAAGGGGGATGGAGCAGCGTGGAGGTGCAGGAGGGGGAGCAGAAAGCCCCGGCCTTCAAGACAATGCCAGCTTAGAGGAGAGATGGGACAGGGGGGAGAGCCCTGCCTCCAGCGGCCCCCTGCATGCCAAGTCAGCCCATGCGCAGTCCAATGGCAGCCCGGCAAACCCACAGAGCCGACAGAACAGCACACCGCTGAAGCCACTAGGAGGTGGGGCGCTAAGGCACACACGTAAGCTGGGACACAGAGACACACATGCCTGCTTAAATACAATCTTTCTTAAATTAAAGGACTGAAACTGTTGACAGGCATATTAATCTAGACAGACCTGCAATTGTCGTGGGTCTAACTGTGTTTTGTTTCTGGACCACACTTGACCATCTTTGAGCAGTTTAGTGCAGGGACCAACATAATTTCCCTGTATTTTGTAACTTGCTGAAGCCAATAACTCACACCCACTTCATGTAGTGACTGGCTATGTTTCAGAGGCCTGAGAGTTGGCAGTTCTTTCTCGGTCTTTATTGTTTAATTTTTAATACAACTTCTCACAGCATTTGGCTCTTAAAAGCCAGTGACCTTCTGTCTTGGGAGCGTGCTTTAAGGCAAAACAAAGTGAGCTCATAAAGATTTCTGACACACAGTATGTCCTGTGCTGAGGTGCTAGCACAGGGCACCATATTAGAGCACCAGGGACATGTTGTTGACAACTGTGTGTCATCTGTGGGTGAGGTGGCCACATACACTGACACACGGATTATTCTTTACACATTATACAGTTGAAAACATCATCGTGTATCATCACACAAATATTGCACCAGTATAAGTGCACACCCACACACAGACTTTCTGCTGTTTCCTCACTCCACCCTTTCACCGAGCACTTGGGTCAGTGGCCGATAGCGTGCCTGATGCTGCTGTGGTTTGGCTCGGGTGGTGCTGTCACTGTCTTGTCAGGAGAAGGATGGATAGCTTGTTAATGAGCAGTTCCTCTGGGGCACTGCTGTGCACTGGCTGAGTGTGAATGCTTCCAGGCTTGGAGGAGCTCTCGGTACTTACCAAGTAATGAGTCCAGACTAATACATTAGTTTCAGCACTGAAGTTAAGGCATTGTTCCTACGTGCTATCATATCCAGCAGGGTTTTAAAACGGCTCTGGAAACAAATAGGTTTTACTACGTGGTGCATAACAGAGCTACGTTGTACAATCACACACTTTCAAATTTGCTTTTTGTTCTTCAACTATAAAACTGAAAGAAAGCAGCATCCGGCATGATTTGGATTCCATTCTTCTTCTTTGAATTGGATACAGGTTGTACTCATGGAGCCTATCTGCAATTGATCTACAACTGAAAATCTATCTGAAAAATCTTTTTGACACTATGAATGAGAAGGCTACACTATAAACTTAGTCCCATGGCAGTTGAACCCCTTCCCCTGTCACTCTGTCCTGTGGGCCAGGTTTGATGATCCCAGTCTACTGTGTGGTCGAGCAGGCAGACATTGCTGGCAACTGTGAGGGGCACGGTGACCGGCACGCCGAGTTTGTGTTGGTCCGCAAGGACGTCCTCTTCACACAGCTCGTAGAGACAGTGCTGGTCGCTCTGGGGTACTCGCACAGCTCAGCTGTACAGGCACGTGGTAAGTACTGTGTAGGTATGAGTGTGTACGAGTGCATGTGCTCTCATGCAGCCAGTTCTTAATAGCACTTAAACACAGCATGATGGAGGCTAAATTAATTTAAATTATAACATAAGTGAATAACCTAGCAGGTCTCCGGATGGGTGGGGTTTGCCACAGTGTGACCTAAAGTGTAGATTATCACAGCAAAGGTATTTACCAGGGAAGTCGGCCTGCTTTCTCCAGCACTTATCTGCTGATTCAGTCCACTCACCTGGCAGCATGAAGGTTAAACCAAAGTCTATCTGTGCATCAAAATGTTTTTCATCAGTCTGAGAACAGACAAGAGGGCAGACAACATCCAGTCAACCATGAAACAACAGCCTTCACACACACAGAGAGTCGGGCAGTTTGACATTCCTGGTGTAAACACAGGGTGCTCTAACCAAGCGGCCGCCGCCCTGCGACCCCCTGGCCTCTCCCAAATCACTAGGTTTTGTTCTCAGAAGTAAGCCTTTTCTTTTCAAATAAATAATTTTTGGCTGGAGTCATGCATTTTTCCCCCAGTGTGGTCACAACCAAAATTATACAGAGTCACTTCTATTTTCTTCTGCAATTGAATTGCATCTTGCATAACTGGACCGTTATTTTTAAAATCTTATCTGGCACAGGCTTTTTTTTTTTTTATTAAAAAAAACTATTTGTCATTTGGAATATATGGTTACAGCTCCAGGTTTGACGTGGGCTTCAGTGAATTACTAATGAAAATGAATTTAAGACCTTGTTCTGGGAAGCATTCACTAATACTGTATTACTCACTTTAAAATAACCATTTACTTTGTTTTAAGGTGTGCAGACCTTTAGTGGATCCTAGGAATAAACCAGACCTTATTTTAAAAAAGCTACAGTAGTGCACTTTAGCCAGTTTATCTGTTGAAAGATGGTAACTTTACAGTACTGGTACCTCCAGATTGTTCAATGAAAAAAGTGGCAACTGAGGTTTGTCAGTAGTTTGCCCATGTCGGACACATTGCTACAAGTCAAAGTGTTTCATATATATTCCTCCATCACTGAATCTTTTTCACTTCAAATTATTCTGACGTCATGTTTGCTGATGTCTGTTTGTGTTTGGAGAATTATTTTAAGCATTTTTGTAGCACTGAGTATTTTATCTGTGTTTCCTCAGTTTAATCAAAGCTTTCATTGGCTTGTGTGTGTTTTTTAAGCGGCCATCAGTAAGCACAACAACAGACCAGTAAGCTGCAAGCAAGACTAGTGTGAAGATTTGAGTCAGAGGCCTGAAACCTGTCAGGTGCTTGAATGTATGCAATCAGTAGCTACTGAAAGGTGAGACTAGATGTACAGTAAAATCTGATCAATGTAACATAACATAAAAACCATATTTGCCATGTATCGCTTGGGTCCTAAAATTGTGAGGGAGTTGGTTGTAAAATGAAATTTGTTAAATCCAAAAGTTTTCATTCACTAGTGGGGACCTGCCCTATATATAGGGTTACTGAATGCTTGTGTATACTTGGTTGCCTGAGCACATGACAGTTTTGGGGGAGGTTAAGGAGGTCTGTCCCGCTCTCGGGCACTGGCAGACCCCCAGCACAGATAAAAGAATAGGAAGAGAAAGATTAGAAGGGGGGGGAGTAGGTGGTTTCAGTGGGTTTAAATAGTGTGAAAGCAGAAGGGTTGTAGTTCAGGTCAGCTTCTGCGCCCAAACTTTAGATAATGACTTTATCTCCACTTATTTCAGGTCAGGTACAATTCAACATGATACAATACTGTATAGCTGCAAATCCAAAGCATTAATAATTGTTTCTAAAGCAAAGGCAGCTGCAGGAGTCAAACCAGCCGCCAGTAATGAGAAGAAATATAGTGCCATCAGAACAATGACCTCAGTGTTTATTCAGTGCACGATCATCAGAACGCTACTCTTATTCACAGCCTCTTTAATGTTGAGTTGGTTTTACATCTCCCCTCTGATTAATCAGCTGTAGAGTCCAAAGAGAACAGCCTTTGGTCTTTTGCCCCTATCACCAGCATCCTCATGCGATGAAGACACAGACAAACACACACATGATTGGAGCTGGCAGGCCAAGGCCAGGCAGGGTCTGGGTTGGATTTAGCAGATCCTAAAGCGATTAGGCCTGTTTAGATTTACACTTCCAGTCACGCTTGTAGGAAGGCCAGGAGAATGTTCAGTGCAGGACGATGCACCAAGAGCGGGAGAGTTTAACAGATCACACAGCACAAACAGGTTAGGAACTAGATTTAAGTGAGCTCATGCTTTACTTGTGTTTTTGTGACTGTGTGTTCTCCAGGCATCATTAAAGTGGGCCAGTGGAAGCCGATGCCCATCCATTACCTGACAGACGCACCTGAGGCCACGGTGGCTGACATGCTGCTGGACGTTTACCACATGGTCACGCTGCGGATCCTCCTGCGCAGGTTGGTGTGTGTGTCTTCAGCAGAGTTTACTAAGTACAAATAGTGTGATTTTGAACAGCATTTACATGTTTGGAGCCAAGCTGCTACTGTAACTCTGTGGACATCAGTTGATTGAGCTAATTAGGTTTTTGCAAATTGTTGGGTAGCACTTGACGTGCCTGTGTCTACATATTTCACGCAGGGCAGGTGGGTGGGCCCCCAGAAAGGTAGGGCCCCAGGCATCGATGTAGGTTAGTTTAAAGTGTTTCCATAGTTGGTGTTGTATGTACATTTTTTATAAATGAGTAAAAACAAAAGGGGGAAAACTGAAACACAAAAGACTTTGAGTCACATCAGAATGCTTGTTTTTATTGTAGCTACTGATTTAAAAACCTTTAGTTGTGTAACAGTTATAACATGTTGGAGGGTGACAAAAAAGATTCAGAGCAAATGACTTAGTTCTTTATTTAATACAGTATAGATTCAATGATTACTGGTTTGACTGTGTTTTTCACCACTTTGCTAGCTTGACCAGTGGATCAGCGTCAGAGTTTGATTGTATATTATAATGAAGCCTGTGTTGTGCAGCTTTGCGCGGCTGGAGGAGCTGCCATCAGATCAGTGGACCCACGCCACAGTGAGAAACGCCCTGAAAGAGCTGCTCAGGGAAACCAACCAGAGCGCTCTGTCCAAGGAGTGCCCTCTCTCCCAGGTACCTGCTGACCAGCACTGTGACACAGCAGCTACATCAGCAAGAGTGCTGGCATCAGAGAGGAGATGTGTTTCATATTTCCAGTCTGTTTAGAAAGTAACTTTAGTGAGTGGGAGCAGAGCAGTTGCTTGAAATGTTAAGCTGAATAACAAACAGCTCAACAAACAGTGCTACCACAGAAATTTACAGTGTCTGGGCCACCAAAATACAGCTCTTGATTATTTTTCACCTGATGATTTTGACAATTTTACTTTATATTTAAACAAAAACAGATCATTGGAATCTGATGTTTGCTTAAAAATGGCTTTATGTTAAATTCATTCACACACCTAGCTGAAACGCCGCAGAATTAACTCTAAACACATGGTTTTCTCATCACATCGCCACACACTTAGTGTGCTGTGTAATCGCTCACGTGCACAAACACATGCACACAGATATTGATACCATCCCATAGGAAAAGACACACACATCAATTATCCTCCTCACACACACCCTGCAGTCATTAGACCGGAGAGTCTGTCATTTTGACTTGTGAGTTATACACAGGACTTAGTCATGATGTAATTAGTGATTAGGGGAAGTGTGTGGGTGGTGTGTGTTTGCAGCCTGACTCATGAGTTTTAATCCTCAGTGCTTCCCATGATGAGCTTACAGACAGTGCAGCTCCTATTCTGAAGGACTGGACACAGAGTTTTAATAAATGAGTTGTTCAGCTGCTGGGATTTCTTTGTTTGTGTAACAAAAACTCATCACCCAGGTTTTTATTGAATGACTGTATGAAAGAGGGCTTTGAGTCAGAACTCTGACTGTCCTCAATTTCTAAATTCAATGTTTCCATTTTTCATATTAGAGTGATGTGTTGCAGATTAACAGCTGTGATATCTATCTCTGTCAGAGCATGATCTCAGCGATAGTCAACAGCTCCTACTACGCCAACGTCTCCACCTCTAAATGCCAGGAGTTTGGACGCTGGTACAAGAGGTACAAACGCATCAAAGGTAACTCTTCTTATTCCCAGAACCTGTGTATCCCCCTTAGATGAAGCAGTCTGGTTAACAAAGTGGCACAAATGGAATCAGTCATGCTTTCCCAGTTGTGTAAACTCTTCCAGTTCCAGTGACTGGCCTATAACCACATGACCATATACCCACCCCACATATGAGCATATTTTTTATTGGACAACATAGATGTGTTTGTATGTGATTGGATGTTTTTAAGACTTTTTCTAAATCTCTACTACTCTTTGATATATGCTTTTAACCGACCCCAATGAAGGCTACACACTGAAACATGCTGGTCTTAACATTAACAGTTGCTCTATATACTGCAAGTGTTGCCAGACTTTTTGCCGTTTGGTTTTTCTTCATCTGTGCACTTTGGCAGTGGATGAAGTTGTGCCAGAAATTTCTTCTTCGCCTTAACTCTTCCAGTTCTTCCTGAATAGGTAAAGTGCTGTGAAGTGGCAAACAAGTTAGTCTCTGTGACCGGACCAACCCGTATAGAAAAACAACAGCATGCAAGCTCTGATCAGGCCACACTGGAACTCATTAGGTGCAGGTTTTGTGCTCCTAACATTCACCTCCAGGATATTTGGTTGGGGACAGATTCCTCAAATCCTCAGCAGATAACCCTAAACATTTGTAGATAGCAGGCAATTGACAAAATACAAGCAGCAGCAGATCAGCCCCTTAAATGAAAATAGATTTTTCTGGCACAAAGTAATAAAATATCTGAACAGAAATCTGTATTGTAAATTTCAAGCATATGCACACTGGGATGCAAACGCGTTGTAATCAGACTATTGTGGAGCATGTAAACGTGATTTTTCACAGTGATCTGGTTGCTTGTGTGCGTGTAAATGCAACGTTTCACAGGTGCTGCTTCGCTTCAGCGATTATTTTTTTCATGGTGTTCAGCAACTCTCCTGTGAGGTGTCCTCCTTCTGCCTTATTAAAAACGTGTACAGTTTTTGTGACTGACTTTCTTGCACCCGAACCATCAGCTGTTTATGCTTTGTTTGCCCCATGGTGCTTTAAAAACTCAGAAAGGTGGAGACTGTCACAGCGCTTTTAAAACTGCCACTCACTGCTAATCACAGCTCACCTGCCTCGCTGCCTTTGTTTTTTGTGATTTTAGTTGCTTAAATGTGATGTTTTTTTCCATTCTTCTGTCCACCCCCTGTATGTGTACAAGCACATGTGTCAGCATGTATGTGTCTAATCTGCTGCCTGAGACGTCTGTCACTGACAGTCTCAGTAGGAAGGAACTGTCACACATGGTTCACATTAATGTCACCCTTAATACACATGACAAAACTAAATGCTCTTAACTCCTAATGGAAAACAGCAGCAGCCCCCCAACACACATGGCACCGAAACCCAGGAATAAGAGCTCCTCTTACACTACACACACACACACACACACACACACACGGGGAAGGTAAAAAGCTGAAGCACTACCAAAACCTCACTCCAACTTTTATTCCCTTAATAACTGAAAACATGACTCTCGACCAAACCCAGTAAAAGCATAATAAGAAGCAGACTTATGTGGAGAAGAGGTTGTTAAAATCCAGAAGAGATTGAGTTCAATGTAATGATAAAGAGGAAACAGTCTTCACTTATTTGTTATCTGGAGAACTGGTAGACTAAGTGAAAATAGACTGTGTCTATGAGATCATTCCTCGAACCACAAGACCAGCCTCTGAAAAGCTGTAAAACATCATCCTAGAAAGGTTTTCGACAGCGCAGTCCTCATGTTTTTACACACCCTTTGTGATACTATGAGTACCATGGGCTCATCTTCTAATGGACATACAGCAACAACCATATTTTGTCCAGTAGCACTTCACAGAAAACCTGGCAATTTATTCTACAAAGGAACAGAGGTGCTTTTTTAAAAATATATGTCTAAGGAAATGTATCCAATGTTCAAGGAAAACCCAATTTTTACACCAGTACCCTCTAAACAAGCAACTAAAAAAGTTACCCTGACAGATCAGAACATGAAGCGTGACGTTTTAAATGAAATGTAAATGTAAATGTAATTAACTGAGGCTGTATCAGCATCAAAAATAATTAATTATGATGCAAAATAAGTTCATGTTTGGGCTGTGGGAATTTTTAAATGTATCATTGCAGGTATAACTACATATACTTAAAGCTCTGTTCTACCAAACTGCCCTTGTGCGATGATTATGTCTAAACTGAACTACTGACTTCTCCTCAGGTGAATATATCGACAAGATGTGGTCAGCACCGGACAAATCAGATATAAAAGGTAACGTGATTTATGGATGGTTTCCTTGTGACATGATGCACCCTGTGGTTACCACATTGGAGGTTTGGTTACCTGAGCAGACACCTTATGAGATCTGATATAAATCATTTTGATATAATTATTTATACCAGATAGGCGAGTGACCCAAGAATGGCATCACAGTTGCAATAGTTTTTGTTTATTGTACACTGGTTGGTGCTATGAGACGAGCGAGGTTTGGCTGGCAGGGACCTGCCCTCACTCAGTATGAATGAAACTGTAAGGATATTGAATGTGTGTGTTTACTTGGTTCCTTGAGCACTTGATGGTTTTGGAGAAGGCCCCGCTCTCGGGCACTGGCAGACCCCCAGCAGGGATAGAAGAACAGAGGGAGAATGATTAGAATAAAAAAGGAGGGGTATTGGGTGAGTAACAAACAGTTGAAGTGGACATGCGGTGGTTTCAGTGAGTTTCAGTAGTGTGAATACAGAAGGGGCTTAATTCGAGTCCGGCCTCGTCAGACAATTATCTCTATTTAATGACTGTGCCTTTAAAATAGCCTACATCTAATGTAAATATTCCAAATGCCTTAAACATAATTAATTACACGTTTCACATTCTCATCTTGGAGATCTCCACTAGCATTTAAAACTAAGTGGTAAGAATGTGAAGATGTGGCAGGGTCAGTCCACAGAACTGTGGCATATGGATCATGTGGTTGAGGTTTGTGTACTGGAGGAGGCTTAAGATCAAAGTGTAGGGGAATCACTAGTCTGTCAGTGTATATTAATGTGAACCTGTGTGTGTGTGTGTGTGTGTTAAAACAGTTGAGAGGGATTTGGACGCGAGTGTAATCAGCCAGCACCCTCCCTCTCTTTTACCCTCCGTCACCCATTTGGGCACCTTTGGCAGCCCTGGAGCACTTCCCATCAAGAGTGACACTCAGACCTCCACCCAGCCTCAGTGTCTGCCTCACCACCCCAGTCCTCCGCTGTGTCCCCAGCCTCCACCCCTCCTGGGCCACGGCGGGCTCCTTTCCCCCCAGCTCTCCCCTCAGCTTGTCCGTCAGCAGCTCGCCATGGCCCACCTCATCAACCAGCAGCTGGCTGTCAGCCGCCTGCTCGCCCACCAGCACCCACAGGGAGTCAGCCAACAGTTCCTCAACCACCCGCCCATCTTGAGGACCTGCAAGGGCTCTGGGGCAGCTACTGAGCCCAGCCTCAACTGTTCAGGGACCGAAGTTTCCTCTGACATTTACCAGCAAGTCAGGAATGAGCTGAAGAGGGCCAGCGTTTCACAGGCAGTGTTTGCACGTGTGGCTTTTAACCGCACACAGGTGATTTTAAAGCAATAAAGGCTGAAGATTTTATAACACACTTCATTCATTTGTCATGTGACAATAAATAGCTATATGGGTTTGTGTGTGCACCACAGGGCTTGCTATCGGAGATTCTTCGTAAGGAGGAGGATCCTCGCTCGGCCTCTCAGTCGCTGCTGGTCAACCTGAAGGCCATGCAGAACTTCCTCAACCTGCCGGAGGGTGAGCGAGACCGCATCTACCAGGAGGAAAGAGAGAGGAGTACCAACACCAACCACAACCACTCCAGCAACCACATCTCTAACAGCAGTGCACACAGACACACACAGGTACACACACTCACACGGAGAGAGAGTGTGTTCATTAACAAACAAAACTCTGTAGCTTATCACCTCCTAAACTCACTGTAGTTTGTTATATTCGCTTGGACAAAAATATTAGAGAATATTACAGAATAACAAAATGACATTTACATGTCTGTTCATGCAAAATGAAAGGTGTAAAACCTCAACTCAACAAATCAAGATACTGTAGAAGCATATTAAGTTTCATTTAGTATTTCCCTTCCTTATCTGTGTCCTCCTCCTAGAGTTTAAGATAAAGTTGTGCACATAGAGGAAGCTTTTGATAGAGGGTATTTAAGGTTTTAGAACAGCAACATGGACCTGGATATAACACTGAGTTTTAAAACCACAGTTTCTGTGTCTGTGTAGACAAGGTGCAGCATGTCTGGTGCGGAGCTATCGCTCAAGCTGGACTCGCTGGTGAGCATCACATCAGGAATCTATGATGAGATCCAGCAGGAGATGAAGAGGGCAAAGGTCTCCCAGGCTCTGTTTGCCAAGGTGGCTGCCAACAAGAGTCAGGTCAGTCGCAGTGAGTCTAAGAACTTTAACTACACTCTCCAGTCCAAAAATATCCTCTTAGTTCACTGCTGCTATTTTGAAAATTTGCCTGAACGTGCACTTGGTTGTGTGGGTAGGCTTAAAAAATTACAAGGCCAGATTAGCATTCAAATAGGAAGTAAATAAATGATATGAATCACTTCCTATTTATGTACCCACCTTAACAACTGAAAACTCCCACTGCCATGCAGTTTTAAAAAAGTTTACACCGATAAACTTCGTGTAGAACATTCCTGTACACAGCTACTGGCTGAGTTGATGATGTTTGAAGGAGCTGATGAGGGTATACCAGAGGTGTGTGTGGGTGTGTTGCATATCTGATTACCTGCTGTGGTGTACCATCATGTCTACATACTCAGATAAACAATGCGGGCAATCGAGGGCGAGATTAAAGCAGAGTCTGCACTGGAGAGGGGGAGACAAAGAGGAAGGCCATCATTCAAAACCAGCTTAAATGTCTCTGCTTTTTTGTGACATAATATATTATCAACACTGACAGAAAGAGTTAGAAAGTGGGTATTAGTGTATGACAGGCACTGAGACAGATCCTAAAAAGGGAGGAGGAAAGAAACACAGTGGTGAAGACGGAACAGATGAAGATGATGATGGAAGCATGATCACATTATTACCATTAATTTCCAGGCTGAAGGCTGCGCATAAACAACAGCTGGTGGCAGATCCTGGGTCAGCCTAGCAGAGATAATCCAATCTTGACACTCACTGCTCTCCTCCTCTGTCTGTTTTCTTTCCTCCTTTTAAAGAACAACTTACACTGTGTTCTGCTGTACTCTAAACTTTATGGATATCCTGTTTATTTTGAAGGTTTTCATGCACAGTAGTGTTGTGGGGTTGACTTTTAGGAGTCAAATGATCAACAACAGCATCAACAACATGATCAGACTCTCAACTTGTCAATTCTGTCCTTCAAACCAAACCCGGTGATTACAAAAGGAGTGAGCCAGAGAATATTGCAACAGATATATGAGGATGTGAATCACAATATTCAGTCCAGCTAACAACACTTGATGATTGGATGAATATACTGTCAGCAAACACAACATAGTGACAGCAGTGATGGGAACCAGAGCCACATAAAGCCTGGCAGCCTGGTGCAAACACACAGAGCAAACAAATAATCCCACGCATCAGTCACATCTAGATTTTCAAAGACCCACTTCTTACAGTCTAAAAACACAAAATTAAGCACTGGCTGCAGTCACTGCCCAGTAACAGCATCTAAGAGTCAACTCACCAGTGTCATTCCAGGTGAAGCTATAATCATTCATAAGCATTTCATCAAAAGGGGAACATCCTTAAATCACCTTATAATGAGCAACAAAACATGAACTGACCTACACATCACATCACAATCAAGTCTTTTCTCTACAGACACTCTATCAAACCTGTCGGTTTCTAAAGCTAATGCACCTGAATGTAACACAATCACCCATACAATGTTTTGCCTCATTAGTCTAGGGATATGGATGCATGTTTTCCCAATTAAAGATCATGTTCAGGGATATTCACAAACCTATTTTAAAATCCAGGACATCTCACATTTGTCCATATTCATCCCATGCACTAAACTTACAGAAGCAAGATGAACAGTACTACCATTCTGTCTAATAGGACAAGTATGTGGTAGATGTCAGGCTTCTCGCTCAGGTCAAACCTTTGTTTCCATGTGTTTCAGGGTTGGCTCTGTGAGCTGCTCAGGTGGAAAGAGAGCCCAAGCCCCGAGAACCGCACACTGTGGGAGAACCTGTGCACCATCAGGAGGTTCCTGGCGTTACCGCAGGCCGACCGGGACCAGGTTTATGAGGAGGAGTCGAGGCAGCAACACAACGACAGGCTCCACACTGTCCTGCACATCTCCGATCAGCAGGTATGGCCACGCAGCCAGTGGCGTGGGTGTGGTGGTCTTGTAGAATATAGCACAAAGTTGGTTTTTGCCCCACTACTGTGGTAAATGCAGTTATGGATTAGGAGATTCATTTATTTTCAAGAATAAAACTAGCAGCAAAATCAGATTTTTTTAAAGGCAGAAATCAAAGTGAGAAAGTGTGAAACCCAGCATGTGACTGCTAGGTGTTTTCTCAGGGGTACCTCCCTGAGGTCTGATCCCAGCACCTGCTCCTCTCAGCATCTCTCCCTTTTTTGTCATGTCTGTCCCATAAGTCATTGAAAATAGAAGTGGTAAATGACCAGCCCACACATTTCCTGCTAAACACGCCTCTGTCCCACCCTCTTCCCAAAACCACAATGCTCCCCAGTCTAACCTCAATATTATTCCAAACACAGCCTGTAATTATTGAAGCAGAGAAAAGGGAACCACCATTATCTTTATTTAGGTCCTTTAATTTTGATGGACCCCAGATTTATGTTGTCAGATTCCTGTGTTTGGGTGTGTTGGCCGCCCCGCCCTGTTAATAGGCTCTAGTAAGGTGATTGTTTGTGTGATGAATTTGGGAGGTTACTGTGCATGTATGTGGGTGATGGAAGCTGGTCAGTCACACTTCCGCTTGCACTACATTTCCCCTAATGATTCTGCAGAGGGGTGGTGCAAGAGAAGCTGAGCGGGTCACTTCTTATTGTGGTGAGGAGTTTGAGGTTTATATTATAATTGCACATCACGAGGCATGGTCTCACACACACACACACACACACACACACACACACACACACACAGTGATGAAAGCTATAGTATCTCTACATGTTGCCTAGAAGCCTTGGAGTATATGGAATCTACAGCAGTGGGGGTGTTTGTTTGTAGACAAGCCTTGCTGCTAAATTTGCACATTTTTCTCTATAGATGTCATTATCTATGCATTGGTCGCAAAAAAGCATGTCCTGTATGCAGACACCTAATGGAATGTTGTGCTCAAGTGGGTAACACTTTCCTCTAGATTGTTAAGGTTTTAATTATCTTTGCTTTATGCATATGTTCAGAACAACAACAATGTAAACCCTGAAGTGACAACTACATGACTTGGTAACAGAATATTTGATCAATACACTCTCCACATGTTAATTCGGCTCTCACGGGGAGGTGAGGTGAGAGAGAGACAGGCTGGACCCAGATAGCAGGTGCGATACTGATCAACAGACTTTATTTTAACAGAAAAACAGATTATGGGGATCACAGTCAATATACTGATAAGTCTGACAGCAGAGGAAGAGTTCGAGGGGGTTGCAGCTGCGGAGCTGGAGACAGCAGCGAAGAGGCGCTGTGACAGGTGAGCGTAGCCGGAGAACTCAGGTGTGGTGAGCGTAGATGGCTGGGCTCGGGGGGAGATGGTGTGGAAAGATGACTGGCTAGCAGCAGGTCACTCAGGCAGAGAGACAGTGGAGACAGTCAGGGGTTCAGATCACAGCAGAATCTGATGGGGAAACCCAGGGGAGTACAGACTGAAGAGTAGGGAGGAGTACACAGTCTTACAGTGAAGAAGTCTTGCTGGCGATAAGTGTAGCCACTTGTAAGATGCGACCGAAGAATGAGAAGATAATTCCCAACGTACTGGAGACGAGTGGTAGTGCACCAGTACCTTAAGTGGCGGTGTGGGTGATTAAGTAAACGTGCCATAGCTGTGTCGCACCTTGGGGCCGCTGATAGAGGATGCACCTCAGCTGCGCGCACCACGGGAGCTGGGACCTAGAACCGAAAACAAGAAAGGGAGAGAGAGAGAGAAAAAAGAAAAAGAAGGGGAGAGCATCAGGTTGCGTCGAGCAACCCTGACTGACACCAAATTGGTGAAACAAGTACATAATAAAAGTAAATGTTGATGACTATTGGGATAGAATTTATGTTAGCAGTAAATTTTTATTTTTCCAAATGTTTTGGCAACTTGAAGCAGTAATGTCTATACCTGGAGCTAAACAGCAGCCTGCTACACACCAGACTTTACCAAGGAAGCTAGTGTGGTTGTTTAAAGTCTCCTTATCTGACTTACAAACATCTTAGACTGTGGAGGGAGCCACTACGTGCACAGCCAATGTCAGCTGAGATGAAAACTGACATTATTTTTGTCTGCTTGAAGAAACACCCTTAAATATCGCTCATTTTGCTTTTAACTGCATCTCATTGTCTAAATCAGCAACTGAGTTTGCATGGAGGTGGTTCATTTGCCATCACTTGTGTAATATAAGGTACATTTACACAGCTCTGGAAAAAGGCGGCACATTGTCTGTTTGAAGATCCTGGTCATCCTGATGCTGTAACATCTTTACACATACACAAATGTGTCTTTTAAAAAGGTATTTTTAATGTTCTTAGCAGGCACTCCACAGACAGCTTCTGCCTCCTCTGACAGCCCCATCTCCGATTGATGAAGACCCACAGCCTGTGCCGCTGCCAGCCCTGCATGGCTCAGAAGATGGGCCTCGGTGTGGGTTGAACCCTGGCCTCGGAGGTGCAGGTCTAAAGAAAGCCCGTTCGCGGACACGGATATCCCTGGAGGCCCTCGGAATCTTGCAGAGCTTCATTGGTGATGTGGGCCTCTACCCTGACCAGGAGGCCATCCACACCCTGTCAGCCCAGCTGGACCTGCCCAAACACACCATCGTCAAGTTCTTCCAGAACCAACGCTACAATGTAAGGCACCACAATCAGGCACGAGAGCCCGTCCCCAGGGAGGACGACCTGGAAAGCTTGAGCCCCAGTGAGGGAGGCACTGGCACAGCAGAGAGCCAAGGGGAGGAGGCACTCTCTGCTTCTGAGGAGTCAAGTGAGGAAGGACGAGAATCAGTGGAGTTGTTCCGAATGGAGGGAGGAGACAGAGGAGAGGAAAGACAAGTGGAAATGGAGGTAGACAAAGAAGAAGGCAATGATGGGAAAGCCTCAGGGCCAGCGACTTCCTCCCTGTCCCCATACAGCAGTGTGGACAGCCCCCACTCTACAGAGCAACAGAGATAACAGCAGAGAGAAGCAAAAGACACCATCAAACTGTGAAGACCACACGTAGATAACCTGTGAATAAACACACATTTCCATCATCATCTTTACCAGAGCTGAACTGTGGGAAAATGTAAGGTTTGCCTGAAAAGGTACCACCAGTGTTTTTGGTTTCATGCTGCATGGAGACAATATTTAGTGATCATTTTCACCAAATGAAAAACTGTTTCTTCCTAAATTTCATCACTCGTCTTTTTAGGGAGGATGGAAAAGGCTTCCAGGATTCCACTGAAACACAGGTTAAATCAAATCTTTGAGTAGGAATTTTTTTTTTTTTTTGACAAATCTCCAATAGTGACTCTGCACGCTGTGAGATGATGGACTCCTGCAGCACAACACACTTTGTCATGGTCTGAATGAAATAGTGCATATCATCAGTACAGTATGTATGCCTGGGTGGGGAAGTGATTTATGCTGCAGGAATGGTTTGAGAAGTCTCCATCCTCTTTTCATAGTTTCCATCCTCAAAGTCCAGTCATCTTTTCAGACTACTCTATCTCTTTGTTTATTATGTTTAAAGGTTGAGTGTTAATACTCTAAAGATGTTTCCTTGTCAGGTTTCACTGCAGTGCACAGGAATGTACTTGTATACAGATGGGTTTATGTGTGTAAACGTATTTTAAAAAACATTGTTCAGCAAGTCAGACACATAGAACAACAGAGGTTTCATTCCAGAAGTTTCTCATGGCCATGCCAAAAAAACTGAGCATGTGTGACCTGAAATACTTAAGTGAAGCATTTGGGCTTTCTCATAGAGAAAGAGAAAGTAGTTTCACTGCTTTATATTACATCATGTTAGAAATACATGGAGATCAATAGATAAAACTATATTGACAAGTTGCAACCAGGAGCATCCATGTGAGCAGAGCTGGGTCCTGTCACCCCGTGAGGGTGAGATGCTAACACTTTATGTTCAGATAAACGTATTGGCTTTGGACAGTAGTGCCTCACTCTGGGAATTGGAGACGTGCCGAACAAAAACACAAAAATATCCACCCAGATTTAAGTCAGTCTTCTGTTCTTTTTTTTTTTTTTGATGCTGTAATTTATTGTCAATTTCCTTCCCATGATGCTTTAGGGTGCCCCTCCATCGAATGAGCTATATGTGACATTTAATGATGATAAATAACCCCCACATAAATATTTATTTCTAGCATTATATTTACTAAACTCATAGTGTTGTAATTATAGCTTAGCTATAATTTTTTTTGATAATGTTTTTGTAAATGTGACAAAAGAGGTTGAACAAGCCTGGATTAAATTGAAACTCAGTGCTACAAGTTTATTCTTTATTTACTGTTTCTTTTCCTTAAACTGAACATTTTTGTATGGGACCTTTGTGTACGTTATGGTGTAAATGTTGACAATCCACCTGCAGAAGTGACTATATCGTCATATGTGGGACACAGCCACTGCCACTTCACACTGTTTCATACATTTTGTACCTCAGACAACGGGGTAGGAAAACAAATGATTTCTATCAGTTTGACAGTCATCTCTGTTCTGACTGAAGGGCACAGAGTTTGATTTATTCCACTCTGACAATTAACCGTTGCTCTTTGATTTTGTTGTGGGTAGGGCGTAGGGTTTTCCTGTTGTAATTGTCCCTATCAGCTCTGAGTGCTTTTTTTTTAACACAAATGCACCAAAAGTCACATACCAATCAGAAACTCAAGCAATTTTATTTGTTTAAAATGAAATATACAAAACAAAGTGCACAAAGCAAAGTCATTTATGACAAAAGCTGCATGCGACTGTGTTACAGCTGGCAACAGAATAGCTGTGGTTCTGCTCCTGATTCTTTGTCCTTACATACCTGACCTCTAACCACAAACACTATAAAAAGAACAGCTGTCAAAAGCAAATATAAAGTGCACACTCATTCCAACCTAACCACACACACATGAATGTAAAAACAGCAGCTGACTCTGCAGAGGCAGGTGTTCTATCAGATATATTGGGATTTTGTAATGTTTTACCTTTAATATTTCAGTGCTGGTTTTCCTACCTTGTTTGTCCAGTCAGAGTGAGACTGATAGAGAATGATGAGGATGCGTTCATGCACTATGTCGCATCATGTGATGTGCTAACTGTGTCAGTGTGAGGAGCGTATGTGATAAAACCATTTTACCGAAGAGCTGGCACATGTCATCGCAGGTTATCTGTTGTCAGCTCATCAGTATAAACCACAGTTTTGTGTCCCTGTGTTGCTGTGTGCTAACTAACAAGATGCCACCAGAGTGTGTGCTAGAGAACAGCATCTGAAACTACTGGTCCGTGTTGACCTTAAGACTCATTTCAGACCTCTGATTCCTGAGTTTCCTACTACACATCAGCACTGGGGGATTTTATGGATTTTGATCCAACAAATAGGTCATTTTAAGTGAGTAAATTGTTGCCAGTTTTTTGTTTTCCATTAGTTTCACATCCTCATCTTTACTTTAGAAGACTTTCAGCCAAACTGGACTGGAAACCAGACTGCAAAACAGCTGGCTTACTTATTAAAAGTCCTGAGTGAGTCATTGAATTTTACACAAGGGTTACGTGGGAACCGTCACAAAAGCACATAAAATTAGTTGTGTCAAGCAAATCAAAGCTAAAGCATAAGAGGTTCAGCTGTGTGTGTGTGTTAGTTTATTCTTTACCAATTGATAAAACTAATCGGAGATCACATTGTACTGTAGTTAACTTGCATCTAATATAACAACTGCATCAGTGAGTGGAGATACAGTCCAGTGGATTTCTGTTCATACAGCTGCTATTAGACATGTATACAGGGACATTAGAGGTGCGTGTGTGTGATGTGGGATAGGGACACAGGTGCTCCAGCTGATATTACCCAGGATGCTCCAGCGCTCGCAGACACACCTGTGATCCCTTGCTAGCACGCTCTCACACACACACTGTGGCCCCCATCTCTGTGATGTACAACATTAATACACTCTGATAAACAGGCTAATACTCGCAGCAGCACTTTACACACCACTGAACACAACACACGGTGAAGCCAACACGTGGTCCTGTGCATGTTTGTGTCTGATGGTTCAGAAATTAGAAAAGATTCACAGATGTGTGTTGTGTAAAAGTGTAGGCTTTTTATTATATGTTCACTAGTCATATGTTAAGGAGAATTCTGGGGTGTTTATTGTATAGGTTTGGCCAACATTCCCTTAGATAGGGTGCATTTTGCTTTCTCACCTTCATCTTCAGGACTGGAGGACACAGCAGTTATGTAACAGGCAACAACAGCAGAACATATGGGACAAAAACCAACAAAAAGCCATTGATTTAAAACATGTAAATCAAGGTGAAATATAAAGTTATTGTCCAGTTTTACAGTTAAAACCACTTCTTTTAAGCCTCTGTTGAATTTAAAGTGCTGGGCGGTTCAACATTGACTTACATACCACGAATGTATCCATTATAAAGTTACTTCTTTGTAAAGCCTCAGCAGTGAAGTTAGTGAGTAGCATGTGACTGTACACAGATGACAAACACATATGCAGGGTGACAGGTGAAGACCTACATGTACTCCAACTGTAGTACATGAAGTGTGGCAGCTGTTATTTAAGAAAAAGCTCAGATGTCTTATTGAATATGTTTGTTATGTATTTAGCAGTGTCACTGTAAAGATACACACCACAACCTTTGGTCCCTGACAAATCCACGCACCCAGATGGTGAAAACATCCAAAAATGAAAAGAGTCAGAAAACAACTACATTACTTCTCCTTCAGAAACAAATATTTAATTATGCCCACTTTACTGCATTAATAGTGAGTTTTGATATGCAAGCCAGTAACATTTATACACCCACAAAAATGTATTCAAACTAAATCCTGTTATGAGGAAAATAAAAAACAATTAAAGCATAAATAGGGCTGTAACTTTGAAAAGTCAAATCTGATTATTTAATGTTGCCAAACAGTAAAAACCTCAGCTAAATCAATGTAGAGGCTCGTTTTTGTTCATTGAAGCATTGGTTCCCTGCCACTGATGAACCTTTGACATCATGAGAGAAGCTTTTCATTTTCAAATCAAATCAAATCAAACCAAAATGTATTTCTATAGCATTTTAAAACAATGTCTGGTTGACCAAAGTACTTTACAAGGGCAAGGCAAGAACTAAAATAAATAATATCAATAGAGGAACAAAACATAGGAACATAAACACACGAATTACACAGATTTGACAGTTAAAAGAAGGAAGCATCAGACAATACTATGTATTAAAAGCCAAAGTGAATAAATATGTTTTAACCAATGATTTAAAAGTTATCAAGTCTATAGACAATCTAATATTGGGAGGTAAACTATTCCACAATTTAGGAGCTGCAACAGTAAAAGGACGGTCACCCCAGTGTTTGTGTCTGGCCCTGGGAACCTCTAAAAGAAACCGGCTTGATGATCTGAGCAATCTTGTAGGTTCACACCACCTCACCAACTCAGCGAGGTAGGGCGGTGCCAAACCATTAAGAGCCATAAAAACAAAATTCAATAGCGTAAAATGAATTCTAAAACGGACTGGAAGCCAGTGAAAAGAGGCCAGTACCAGAGTTATATGGTCAGATTTCCTGGTACTTTTTAAAAGATGAGTTTCATCATTTTGCATCATTTGGAGACGTGTGAGAGGCACCAAGGTATAATGTACTGCAATAGTCAAGTCTGGAGGTTATAAAAGCATGGATTGCAATCTCAAAATCATTAAAAGAAAGAAAGAAATGACTTGACTTGACTTAACAACCTGAGGTGAAAGAAACTAGATTTTACAACTGAGCTGATCTGCTTGTCGAATCTTAAGTCACTGTCAAACATTAGCCCTAGGTTTTTACAGTCATCTTCAGATGGCGAGCCAGGGGGCCTAAGTTGTGGTTAACAGCAGCAAATTTCACCAAATAACTAATTAACACACTCAGTTTTATCCTCATTTAATTTTAAAAAGTTCTACGCCAGCCATGCTTTCAGGTCTGCCAAACAGTTAAACATCGACTGTAGACATATCCCTCCGACTGCTTTTAATGGTAAAAATATCTGGATGTCATCCACATAACAATGAAAGGAGAAGCCATATTTCCTTAGAACTGATCCCAGCGGAAGCATGTACAAGGAAAAGAGAGTTGGGCCAAGTACAGACCCCTGGGGGACACCACAGGAGAGGATAGTTGAAGAGAAGGAACAGTTACCAATATTAACAAAAAAAAACTTCTATTGGTGAGATAAGCTCTAAACCAATTAAGAACAGTACCACAAATTCCTACACACTGCTCCAAGCGAGATATGAGGATTCAATGATTCACTGTATCAAAGGCAGCAGACAGATCTAAAAGCACCAGCAGAACTAGCCAACAAAACGTCACTATTAATTTTTAATAACGCTGACTCAGTACTGTGTTTTAATTTAAACCCAGACTGAAATTGCTCCTCAGTGCTGTTTTCTGTCAGAAAAGACTGCAGTTGAATAAGAACAATCTTGTCTAAAACATTTGATCTAAAATTAGGAAACACTGAAGGATCTAGATTTAGGATTTTTAAGAAGTGGCTGGACAATTGCTTTTTTTTTTGCATCTGGAACTGAGCCTGTAGTCAAGCATAAATCAATTAGAGCCAGAAAGCTTGGACCTATAGACTCCAAAACATCCCTGAATAATCTTGTTGGCAGGAAATCCAGAGAACAGAGAGATGTTTTCATGTGTAAAACCACTTCTGATAACACAGGCAAAGAAACAGTTTGCAATTGGTCAAAAATAGCAGAAGGCAGGGGAAGGTCAGCTGGGTCAAAAGTAGTGATACTGGAGAATTGCCTAATGATAGCAATTTTATTAGTAAAATAATGAAGAAAACCATGACATATCTCAACAGATGCCTCAGGATGAGAGGTAAGGTTACTGTACATGGGCTAATGACAAACCTGAGGTTTGTGACAATTACTGACCACAATGTTGGAAAGATAGTTCGGTTTGGCAGAGTTTACCACCTTTTATCTTTAATTTTACTGGAAATTATCACAGGTCCTTGTCGTGTTTTTAACAGACTACCGTATATAAGAGGTGAGCTTGATTAAGCCTGACCTTGTTTCTGCTTAAAGCTGCTAAAAGGTAAACTTGCCATTTACACAGTAACAGAGCACAAGAATTACTGTATGTTTCCTTAACTACATACAAATGTGAAAATGTTCCAAATACAGTGTTTATTGATGAAAACATCTGTATTAATCCAGTCATATGCTCTTTGAAACCCTGTAACTCTA